TTATATTATTAAAGGGACACTCCAGGCTCCCACACACATTAGGTGCGCTGTGTAGTTTAGGTTACAGTTATACTGGGTGTGTTTATATTATTAAAGGGACACTCCAGGCTCCCACACACGTTAGATGCACTGTGTAGGTTAGGTTACAGTTAGTTATACTGCGTGGGTTTATATTATTAAAAGGGACACTCCAGGCTCCCACACACGTTAGATGCACTGTGTAGGTTAGGTTACAGTTAGTTATACTGGGTGGGTTTATATTATTAAAGGGACACTCCAGGCACCCACACACGTTAGATGCACTGTATAGGTTAGGTTACAGTTAGTTATACTGGGTGGGTTTATATTATTAAAGGGACACTCCAGGCTCCCACACACGTTAGATGCACTGTGTAGGTTGGGTTACAGTTAGTTATACTGGGTGGGTTTATATTATTAAAGGGACACTCCAGGCTCCCACACACGTTAGATGCACTGTGTAGGTTAGGTTACAGTTAGTTATACTGGGTGGGTTTATATTATTAAAGGGACACTCCAGGCTCTCACACACGTTAGATGCACTGTGTAGGTTAGGTTATAGTTAGTTATACTGGGTGGGTTTATATTATTAAAGGGACACTCCAGGCTCCCACACACGTTAGATACACTGTGTAGGTTAGGTTACAGTTAGTTATACTGGGTGAGTTTATATTATTAAAGGGACACTCCAGGCTCCCACACGTTAGATGCACTGTGTAGGTTAGGTTACAGTTAGTTATACTGGGTGGGTTTATATTATTAAAGGGACACTCCAGGCTCCCACACACGTTAGATGCACTGTGTAGGTTAGGTTACAGTTAGCTATACTGGGTAGGTTTATATTATTAAAGGGACACTCCAGGCTCCCACACACGTTAGATGCACTGTGTAGGTTAGGTTACAGTTAGTTATACTGGGTGGGTTTATATTATTAAAGGGACACTCCAGGCTCCCACACACGTTAGATGCACTGTGCAGGTTAGGTTACAGTTAGTTATACCGGGTGGGTTTATATTATTAAAGGGACACTCCAGGCTCCCACACACGTTAGATGCACTGTGTAGGTTAGGTTACAGTTAGTTATACCGGGTGGGTTTATATTATTAAAGTGACAATCCAGGTTCCCAAACACGTTAGATGCACTGTGTAGGTTAGGTTACAGTTAGTTATACTGGGTGGGTTTATATTATTAAAGAGACACTCCAGGCTCCCACACACGTTAGATGCACTGTGTAGGTTAGGTTACAGTTATTTATACTGGGTGGGTTTATATTATTAAAGGGACACTCCAGGCTCCCACACACGTTAGATGCATTGTGTAGGTTAGGTTACAGTTAGTTATACTGGGTGGGTTTATATTATTAAAGGGACACTCCAGGCTCCCACACACGTTAGATACACTGTGTAGGTTAGGTTACAGTTAGTTATACTGGGTGGGTTTATATTATTAAAGGGACACTCCAGGCTCCCACACACGTTAGGCGCACTGTGTAGGTTAGTTTACAGTTAGTTATACTGGGTAGGTTTATATTATTACAGGGACACTCCAGGCTCCCACACACGTTAGATGCACTGTGTAGGTTAGGTTACAGTTAGTTATACTGGGTGGGTTTATATTATTAAAGGGACACTCCAGGCTCCCACACATGTTAGATGCACTGTGTAGGTTAGGTTACAGTTATACTGGGTGGGTTTATATTATTAAAGGGACACAATCCGGGCTGCAGTTAGTTATACTGGGTGGGTTTATATTATTAAAGGGACACTCCAGGCTCCCACACACGTTAGATGCACTGTGTAGGTTAGGTTACAGTTATACTGCGTGGGTTTATATTATTAAAGTGACACTCCAGGCTCCCACACACGTTAGATGCACTGTGTAGGTTAGGTTACAGTTAGTTATACTGGGTGGGTTTATATTATTAAAGGGACACTCCAGGCACCCACACATGTTAGATGCACTGTGTAGGTTAGGTTACAGTTATACTGGGTGGGTTTATATTATTAAAGGGACACTCCAGGCTCCCACACACATTAGATGCACTGTGTAGGTTGGGTTACAGTTAGTTATACTGGGTGGGTTTATATTATTAAAGGGACATTCCAGGCTCCACGCACGTTAGATACACTGTGTAGGTTAGGTTACAGTTAGTTATACTGGGTGGGTTTATATTATTAAAGGGGACACTCAGGCTCTCCCACACTGCGTTAGATGCACTGTGGCAGGTTGGGTTACAGTTAGTTATACTGGGTGGGTTTATATCATTAAAGGAGGGACACTCCAGGCTCCCACACCGCGTTAAGATGCACTGTGTGTAGGTTGGGTTACAGTTAGTTATACTGGGTGGGTTTATATTACTAAGGGAACACTCCAGGCTCCCACACACGTTAGATGCACTGTGTAGGTTAGGTTACAGTTAGTTATACTGGGTGGGTTTATATTATTAAAGGGACACTCCAGGCTCCCACACACGTTAGATGCACTGTGTAGGTTAGGTTACAGTTAGTTATACTGGATGGGTTTATATTATTAAAGGGACACTCCAGGCTCCCACACACGTTAGATGCACTGTGTAGGTTAGGTTACAGTTAGTTATACTGGGTGGGTTTATATTATTAAAGGGACACTCCAGGCTCCCCACACGTTAGATGCACTGTGTAGGTTGGGTTACAGTTAGTTATACTGGGTGGGTTTATATTATTAAAGGGACACTCCAGGCTCCCACACACGTTAGATGCACTGTGTAGGTTAGGTTACAGTTAGTTATACTGGGTGTGTTTATATTATTAAAGGGACACTCCAGGCTCCCACACACGTTAGATGCACTGTGTAGGTTAGGTTACAGTTAGTTATACTGGTGGGTTTATATTATTAAAGGGACACTCCAGGCTCCCACACACGCTAGATGCACTGTGTAGGGTAGGTTACAGTTAGTTACACTGGTGGGTTTATATTATTAAAGAGACACTCCAGGCTCCCACACACGTTAGATGCACTGTGTAGGTTAGGTTACAGTTAGTTATACTGAGTGGGTTTATATTATTAAAGGGACACTCCAGGCTCCCACACACGTTAGGTGCACTGTGTAGGTTAGGTTACAGTTAGTTATACTGGGTGGGTTTATATTATTAAAGGGACACTCCAGGCTCCCACACGTTAGATGCACTGTGTAGGTTAGGTTACAGTTAGTCATACTGGGTGGGTTTATATTATTAAAGGGACACTCCAGGCTCCCACACACGTTAGATGCACTGTGTAGGTTAAGTTACAGTTATTATACTGGGTGGGTTTATATTATTAAAGGGACACTCCAGGCTCCCACACACGTTAGATGCACTGTGTAGGTTAGGTAACAGTTAGTTATACTGGGTGGGTTTATATTATTAAAGGGAGACTCCAGGCTCCCACACACATTAGATGCACTGTGTAGGTTAGGTTACAGTTAGTTATACTGGGTGGGTTTATATTATTAAAGGGACACTCCAGGCTCCCACACACATTAAATGCACTGTGTAGGTTAAGTTACAGTTATACTGGGTGGGTTTATATTATTAAAGGGACACTCCAGGCTCCCACACACGTTGGATGCACTGTGTAGGTTAGACTACAGTTAGTTATACTGGGTGGTTTTATATTATTAAAGGGAGACTCCAGGCTCCCACACACATTAGATGCACTGTGTAGGTTAGGTTACAGTTAGTTAGACTGGGTGGGTTTATATTATTAAAGGGACACTCCAGGCTCCCACACACGTTAGATGCACTGTGTAGGTTAGGTTACAGTTAGTTAGACTGGGTGGGTTCATATTATTATAGGGACACTCCAGGCTCCCACACACATTAAATGCACTGTGTAGGTTAAGTTACAGTTATACTGGGTGGGTTTATATTATTAAAGGGATACTCCAGGCTCCCACACACGTTGGATGCACTGTGTATGTTACATTACAGTTAGTTATACTGGGTGGTTTTATATTATTAAAGGCAGTCTCCAGGCTCCCACACACATTAGATGCAATGTGTAGGTTAGGTTACAGTTAGTTAGACTGGGTGGGTTTATATTATTAAAGGGACACTCCAGGCTCCCACACACGTTAGGTGCACTGTGTAGGTTAGGTTACAGTTAGTTATACTGGGTGGGTTTATATTATTAAAGGGACACTCCAGGCTCCCACACACGTTAGATGCACTGTGTAGGTTAGGTTACAGTTAGTTATACTGGGTGGGTTTATATTATTAAAGGGACACTCCAGGCTCCCACACACGTTAGGTGCACTGTGTAGGTTAGGTTACAGTTAGTTATACTGGGTGGGTTTATATTATTAAAGGGACACTCCAGGCTCCCACACACGTTAGATGCACTGTGTAGGTTAGGTTACAGTTTGTTATACTGGGTGGGTTTATATTATTAAAGGGACACTCCAGGCTCCCACACACGTTAGATGCACTGTGTAGGTTAGGTTACAGTTAGTTATACTGGGTGGGTTTATATTATTAAAGGGACACTCCAGGCTCCCACACACGTTAGATGCACTGTGTAGGTTAGGTTACAGTTAGTTATATTGGGTGGGTTTATATTATTAAAGGGACACTCCAGGCTCCCACATACGTTAGATGCATTGTGTAGGTTAGGTTACAGTTAGTTATACTGGGTGGGTTTATATTATTAAAGGCACACTGCAGGCTCCCACACACGTTAGATGCACTGTGTAGGTTAGGTTACAATTATACTGGGTGGGTTTATATTATTAAAGGGACACTCCAGGCTCCCACACACGTTATATGCACTGTGTAAGTTAGGTTACAGCTAGTTATACTGGGTGGTTTTATATTATTAAACGGACACTCCAGGCTCCCACATACGTTAGATGCATTGTGTAGGTTAGGTTACAGTTAGTTATACTGAGTGGGTTTATATTATTAAAGGGACACTCCAGGCTCCCACACACGTTAGATGCACTGTGTAGGTTAGGTTACAGTTAGTTATACTGAGTGGGTTTATATTATTAAAGGGACACTCCAGGCTCCCACACACGTTAGATGCACTGTGTAGGTTAGGTTACAGTTAGTTATACTGGGTGGGTTTATATTATTAAAGGGACACTCCAGGCTCCCACACACATTAGATGCACTGTGTAGGTTAGGTTACAGTTAGTTATACTGGGTGGGTTTATATTATTAAAGGGACACTCCAGGCTCCCACACACGTTAGATGCACTGTGTAGGTTAGGTTACAGTTAGTTATACTGGGTGGGTTTATATTATTAAAGGGACACTCCAGGCTCCCACACACACTAGATGCACTGTGTAGGTTAGGTTACAGTTAGTTATACTGGGTGGGTTTATATTATTAAAGGGACACTGCAGTAAAGAATAAAATTACATATCTGTAAATATCCTAAAGATTTTACATTTATTGTTACCCACAAAATGTAACCATTTGAACCTCGGTGGTGAGATCCAGCAAATGGCATTAAGACAATGAGCTACTGACCAATAATGTGACCAGACCAGAGAATAGTGACCATCAGGTCAATAGTGAACAAGGGTGAGATTAGAGAGACATTAATGTCCAGCTGCTCGCCCTGTAAGGAGAATGTTTTATCAACTGACCATCCTCTGCAACAAGATGGGAAGAGACCAGGGAAGAAGGGCAGGGGCCACAAAAACTACCAAGAAAGAGTTAATCCCACAAATGGTACAAGTCTAACTCACAGCCTATGGCACACAATGAGTTAAATGATTATTGTTCAAATTAAAGAAAATACCCAGATTGCAAAGTCTGCAATGAACACAACAATCGTGGCACAATATCTGTGAGCTGAACAAAATCCATGTGTATCTGTTTTCATTACGGTATTTACCCCAACCACTCTGTATGGATGTGGGCTCAGCCACAATCCCAAAAAAGCAGGAGAGTAACAAAGTGTTGCTCCTAGAAAGCAGCAGCCAAGTTCTACGGTTTCCATGGTGACTGCTCCACTATGAGAATGTTGTCCAACGTTCCAGCTGTTTTAGTACTTACCCCAAAGGTTTGTATTGACAGGGCTGGTGAGCTTATACTAAATGGCTATTAGAGTAAAATTAAAAACCTCTGTTAATCAAATGTTAAAAGGGACGCAGGTAACAGTTTTGATTTTATCCTATTTATTTGGGTTGATGATTACTAAGCACATTACAGTACGTTTTCATTGTGGGCATACCTTCTAAACAGTGATTTTTATTTTGTCTGTATTTGGGCAGTGAGACATCCCTTTAAAAAATGCACATGGCCTATGACAGTGATGGTTTAGGGCTCACAAACTAATATACTGTGTTATGGTCATTTTGTCAACACAGAGCTTAAATTTGATCAATTATATAATTATCTACAGTTAGTAAGTTGCGCTTGTTGGTTGCATAGTTCAAGCTATTTAAAGAGACAAACATTCTAGATTATGAAAGATAAGATAAAGCTTTATTGATTGATGTATTAGTGAAAGAATGAGTCCAGTGAAAATGTCTCTTTCCTCGCTATAGTCTTGCAGAACTCTGTATCTCCTAATTAACCCCAACAGTACATTATATTAGGGGTTCTCTAGGTCCATACAATGCTGGCAGTGTATTCAAGTCCCCCCCCCGAATCCATAATGTGTTTGTAGTAGCAGTTTTCCTTATGGTTCGCCTCCCCTCTGCCTGAACCTCACTTGAAGAATATAATGAGAAAGAAGACACAAGCAATCAGGACAATCAGCCCCAAAGCGAAGCAAAGTCGTAACTTGTCGGCCGATATAGGCATGGTGACAGAAGATGGGTGGGCTTCAGACTGTGCCACCCGACGGCTGATTCCCTGCAGATAGGTACTTCGAATTTGTTGCATGTACCTACCTCCCCAGAATTGTCCTTGATCAGAGGGAACGACATCGCTGATAGTGAAGATGGATGGGCGTGGTGAATTCCCAAGTTCAACAGAAAAATAAGGTGAAGAGCCTGCGCTAGAGACGCCAGAACTCTGCGAATATGTATCTTCTGAGATACTGGAAATCACAGTAACCGAGGAAGCCCGGCGCAGGGTCTCCTCATCGGTCTTTAGGGCCTGGACACCTTCTTCAGGAATAATGGCAACACAACGGCAGAACGGGCACACCACAAAAGACAGCAATGAACTGTGGCAAACCAGCTTTTTAAGGCAATGGAGACACATGCTGTGCCCACACTGTAATGTCTTCGGTGCCCTGGATTTAGACGGCGTCTTGTAAGCCTCATAGCAGATGGCGCACTCACCAGGGTTTGCCTTTTCTTGATGTCCTATAGATATCATTTCCATGATGCTTAGCGGTGATCACTGCTCGGATACGAACAAACCTAATTGGAGACTCATTCACTGTGTCTCAATGGATGGAGACATTACGGACCATATTACAAGTCCAACAAATTATTTCCATTTAACTTGACCATGAACAATTCAATATGTCCAACAGTGGCCTTCTGACCAGGATAGAGACTGTATATTATCAATATAAAACCTATCGAAGAGTGGAGCTACAATTCAAGAATTACCAATCTTTCCTTAAAGTTAGATTTTTAGTTAATACGTCGACATTGTGGATGATAGGAAACCACAAGGAGTGCGGGAGGTAGAAGGACTTGCCTGTAATATTATTGGAGATTGTTGCTGTATCGAGGTCTTACAGAAACCAAGGTGATCAAAATACAGAATATTGTGTCCTGGTTAAAAACGCTGATGTCTTTACAACCACTTTGAAATGGTTTGAGTTTTTGTCCTGTGCTGGTTCCACTAGATCCACATGATGTGCTCTGTCTTGGCACAGATCTCCTGATAGCCCAAAGACTGATTCAACTGGCCACAACGTGCCTCAAAGATGATCTTGTCTGTTTTTGAATATCCGAACATCAGAACTTTGGGATACATTTCTCCATCACCTGGAATCTATGTCTTTATGATCTTACACCAAGTTACTCCGATATCAAACTCTGAAAATCAATTTAAAAACACAGAATTTGTTTAAAGATTCTGGTTTGCGGAACTTGCCAGTTCTGGGTTTGCCATTGACTGATTTTCAGGTAGCCTTCAGGGTTCTGTCATTTCTCCTCCTTACCCACAGACAATCAGAGGGAACTGTCAGCTCCTGCCTGCTCTAAATATCTTTAAGTCTGATGGATTGTGGACTCTAAAACCCCATGTTGAGGGTACCATAGGTGAATTTATCACTAACTAGCAAAGTTGATTCTCTGTGATAACAATGAGCAAGCAGGGGGTTAGAAGTTTCTATGTAGGACTGAACTTTGTCCGTTCTTTGACAGTGGAGAATTTACGGACTGACTGTTCATGGTTTGTCTTTAGATGGCCTCGGGTTAATTTCAAAGAAGAAACAGGTTACTTCAAGTTATTGGAAGCAGTGAAGGAGGCACTGTCCACTCACCCCACTCTGCTATACTCAACAGACTGTGACACCCACAAACCTGTGACTTCTCAGTAAGACAGAGTTTACTATAAAAATTATTCCTATTTAAGCTTTTGATTTACCCGGGGTGAATGTAACATGCTGTGTCCCTTTCTGGAGCAGAATACTAATCCTAAAGGGACACTATCACTACAACAGCTTATTGTATTATTACAGCTCATTGTATTATTACAGCTCATTGTGTTATTACAGCTTAAATACTTTTTTTTTTTTTTCTGTTTCACCAAACAGCAGATGAAGAGATGGGGTGCACTTCTCCGTAGTCTTCTATTGAGTGAACAAACGTTTAAAATGTAATTCTGCAATCTGCACATAAGTCACATCATTGCAGTGTGAATATGGCTTCAGAGTGTTTGTTTTCAGTTTAACACCTCTGTATTAAATTATAAGCTCTGTGGTCCAGGCCCTCCAAGGCAGGTCACATGACCTTGTATTGCCAAGTATCTACTTGGCACGGAGCATGGATGGCTATAATACTACGTATAGAATGTTTACAGAGAAGGCAGGTGATTCAGAGAATATTTAACTTCAAACTCCACATATATGGGAAGTCAGGAAGGGTCTGTGACGTTCGACCCATTAATCATTGTCTGGGATTTGTTCCAAAGTAAGATGAATATTAACTATTGACTAATGTGTGAAATGTCAGGAATTCAGAGTGATTTCATAAACTTTGGAGAATGTTTCCAATTTGACTATTTTCCCCTAAAATGTAAAATTCACATTTAAAGCATTGCGCCATAGCATCTTATACCAGGATTCGGGCAGTGATTGGTGCGTCTGGTGTCTAATTCACGCTTCTCCAAGTGCACTTGAAACAATTTGGGTTCCCCTGAAAATAACAAAGATCAAATTGGATCTATATCAGTACTTAGCTGAGAATCTCAGGCTTTCACTGCCTGCTTCCCCCAGAATGGCGGCAAGTGGCCTCTGTCACTGGGAAATAGGTAAAAGGCAGCTAAGCGGTTTATCAGAAATGCAGGACTATTGCCAATAAATTGCATGCACCATAACTACTTCAATCAGTCAAAGTGGCTATGGTGTCTACAGTGTTACTTTCATTCACACTTCAGTAAATTATTGAAAACATCTTCATACATACAGGTTGGCCCATACATCCCTACCCATCCAGCACACAGATACACTGGATACATAAGATATATGGATGGGTAGGGACTTACATGCCACCTTGTAGTGTTTTAGGCTTTAAAGTTAAAACTATGACCAAATGAATCACTCTAAGTGTGAGAGTGCACCATTATTTATACCTAACTGCAGTGTCCTACTAGATCGTCACACTGCACAATCCCAAATAAGGGAGGGAACCTGCGCAAGTCATGTAAGACCTGCGCACTATGGAGGGACGGGATTTGGGGTTCAACCTGTTAACATTTACGGCTGCCATTAAAAAAACAAACTAACAAAAAAAACAACGATTCAATTTTGTTCAATTGGCTTGTGATTAAAGAGATAATTTGGTTATTAAAAGAGTTTAACAAAGACTTCATGCAAAGGCACTTTTATTGAACAGTTTAACTGCACAGACGACAAAATCAGAAACATGTCGTAAATCTCAAGAAAACAACTCCCATCACATCAGGGGGGGAAAAATCCGCAAATATTCAAAATGACAACATTATATGTACAAAATCACAGAAGCACAATGTGGGTGTGTCGGTGGGTGAGTGTGTGGGGCATTTAAGTGCCAATGGGGTGAGCAAGGCATTTTAAATAGTGAAAGGTAACAACTCAAACAAATACAAATATACAAAATTCATTTTAAGGCCATAAACCCCAATAACAAATATTACCCTATACTAAAGGCAGGGTTGGGAACGAAATCAAAGGCCGATGGGTAATCTGTAAACTGGATTCATTGTGATAGGGAAATGTAGACAGCAACGGGTCATTAACTCCTCGTATTTATCTACAACCAGAAGAAGGATTAACCCAGGTCACAAGGCAGGTTACTGGACACCCCTCATCCTTTTCATAGGGATGGTGAATGGGACTTACCCGTGGTCCTTTGGTGGCCATCCGAGGTCCCCATGCAGTTAAAGGGACATTCCACACACACATAAAGCAGGTTAATTTGTTGAAGTGCTTTATATGTGAAGAACTGTCCTCTTTTTTTCATTTTACAAAAAGTTCCGTTTTTAATAGAAATTGGCACTTTTATCGGTTAACCTGGTTACTTCCTCTAACTGTCAATCAGACAACGGTCGTGTTACACCCCCTCAGTGGAGATAAACCCAAGAGGCAGCGATTGCCCAGAGCACCTGCCTTGTAAAGACTTCTCACTGAGCAGCATTGGGAAGTCTCTGATTGGGCAGACACAGGAAGTCTGGGCGGGGTTAGAAGGGGAGGTCTTTCAAAGGCTGCAGATAATAGATCTGCAGTTTTTGAAGCTATTAGATATACCCACAGTGAAAAAATGCACAATTAGATGCAAGCATGTTTTCAGTGGGGTTGTATCTATTAAATAGTGATTTATTTTATTATTTAGGCAGTGGGGTGTCTCTTTAATCCTGCCTTATTTCAATATTCAGATTTTCTCCCTTCCCCTAGATGGTGTTAATAAATGAATTGTATAATTCTAGAATGGAATCGTTTAACCCTGTGCAAGCCGTCACAGAGCTACCAATCAATACAGCACTTTGATATCCACGGTTACACTTCCTCTATTTAATGGGAATATTCACTAAAGTGGGAGTTCTGGAGGAACTGACAGGGGAATTGCAAACCCAAGGCCAAAACAGAAAAATAGTCAAATAAAAGGCTGTCACATTCCAGCTATTTCGGCCAAAAACTTGCACCGCTCTTGCCAGCAGAAAAATCATATGAACCTGCAATAAAAAACCTGACGTTAATGCGTCCCCAAGGTGCCCTTTCCTATCCATTAAATCTGTATCAAGTTTATTTATCCATAAGCTGCCGTTACTCTGAGCCTTAACCACTCGGTAAATGATTAGCAGCCACATGGGCGAGGGTCACAGGCTGCATGAAGGACCTGCACAGGCAGCAAGAGGCAGGAACGAACCCTTTTAGTGCCAAGGGGGTTACAATGGCTCTTAACGTTCCCAACTTAATAACTAATTTTAGCTGATGGGAAAATATAACAATGCTGCTAATGCATTAAAAACAATAATCCAATCATTTCAGTAACTCAGATTAACTACAGAGGTTCACCAAGTGGGATCATGTAAAAGACCTAATTGGGCAGATCCAGAAATTCCCCAGTGTTCAGCAAAGCTAATTCCCAAAACTGACACAAACATTGACAATAAACAGATTATTATCCTTCTCTGTACTTTAAACTGCTTTTTAAACTGGCTGCAAGTCAGGTAAAAACTATGTTAATAAAAATGGCAACACTTTAAAAAAATAAAAAAAAGATACTAATCTGAGGCGCTTTTCCTTTAAGTGTTGTATATTCAGGGTGTTATACCTTTAATTTTTAATTATAATATGTGCTGCTATCCTCGAACTTCCCCTGTGTGTCACAAGATATTATAATTACAACCTATTAACCTTATAGATGTAGTTTATACAGAATGTGTGCTCACACAAAAATACTTTTTCATTCACTATAAACAACTTCCAGCCACAATGTATGGAGAAAACGTACGCTGTCAACATCCTACGTGTAACATTTTAATTCAGTGGCCAACACTCCATATTAGAGCATGTTTTAAACGGCTTTTCAAACTGACAGGCCAGAGTAGTCAAACTGAAAGATTAGCAGATTTAGAGAATTTTTCCAGCTCGGCTACTTTGACCTTAAAATATGAAATTCACTTTGAATCCTCATTTCAGTGAATAACCCTGTGAGATCCATTAACCCCTTAAGGACACACGACGGAAATATTCCTTCATGATTCCCTTTTATTTTTGAAGTTGTGTCCTTAAGGGGTTAAATCGGTTTCAGATATTCTAACAGTTTCTTTATTACCCAAATCCAAGTGTGAACAATCCTATCGTCTCGTTCCAGTGTCCCCTGCCCTGCGTGTAAAGCTTCACTAATAAGTAAAGGGATCGTTTATACATCATTCATTGACATTTTTACTTTATTATTTAAAAAGAGGGAATAAAAACAGGCCAGACAGCATTTATTGATATTCACGAGTAACAGACCACCCCGTACAATTTGCTAATAAACCACAGAAAAACAAAAAAATAAAGAAAGAAATATAAACAGAACATAAGATAAATACAGGGGACTGATTGTCAAAACTGGAAAACAAATGGGTTTATTCATTAAACAATAAACTGCAGTGAATCAAAAACACCATAACAACATAACCAAACCGTAACTATAACAATCGGAGAATTTACCCAGATCAGCACTTTTTTACTTAACTTGCGATTCACTACGATTCACTGCTTAGTAAATAAACGCCAAAGGATTTACTGAATAAAGAGAGAAAACACAGGAAACTTTCAGAAATCGTAAAACTTCGAGTGAAAGGAATCGGGCATCAAGTGGGTAAACGGAAAATGTCATTTCTCCAGAAAACGTCTAAACATTCTGTACGGCTGCGGTTACAGAGTAACGACGTGATGGCGTAGACTCGTCGTACCACGGGTATCCTTTATGTCAGATATTGTCTGGACACGAGAGATTCTATGTTCCAATTAAAGGATACTACATGCATGCGCACACATCGTATACTGCCCATTCCACTACAGCCATTTCGCTTAATGCTATGTAAAGTGCTATTCTTAGATAATTAGTTATGATAAATAAATGCCTGCTCCCGACACACCGAGAAATGTGTACTATAATGTAATAAATATCTTTTCCACACTGAAATGCATGTTGGGATACTCTGCATCATTATACAGCACAATCAGTTTATTTTTAAACGACTACGATTCCAGGGATATGTTCAGTGCAGACAGAAGGCTCATTTACAGCTGGTACGACAAACACACAGCATCAACATACAAAAATAAAGTAACTTCACACTCATACCTCCAAAGAGTCCCAGATCTGGCATGACAGTCCTGATTTGCATCCTATGGACACCACCCACTCACTCCCTGTCCTGATTTCACACCTCCCAATGTTGGAGCGCATGCCATAGGAATGGATAATGAAGAAAGAAACCTCCCCAAATTCCTATTGGGCAGCTATTCACAGATATTCTGTAAAGGACCGGGATAGGGCTACACCTATAGCAAGATACCTGGCATCATTATACATAAGCATCAATCAGTATAAAATGAATTCAGCATTCAGGGTCAGCACATAAATAAATGGAAGGTTTCTGGATCTTTCATTTCTAAATTCTTCATCATTCACCCAGAGAAGTCAGCTACTTTGGAGAGATACTCCACATCACTATACACTAACGGAGTGACAGGACGGAGAGAAGGGCCGTGTTTACAGATATGTAGGCCGTTTAGTGACCAGGCATTGCCAGCAGAGCTCAGAGATGGATCACGTTCCCAGCATGCTAGCTGTGCAGGTAGATACTCACCACAGATAGACAGTGCAGCATATTGATTTCCAACTTTCCACACATAGAGAGGACAGACAGACACACTGGGGACAGACAGCTGACAAGCAGTGATATCTGGATTAAGTTAATCAGCCATATACAGTAACAGCTCGTTCACATTGCTGGGGAACAAGGAAACACAACAAGAAACAAAGGGTTAAAACGATTGCAGGCGGACTCCCCCTTTCCCAGAAACAGTGAATTTTGTCCCCCATCTTTCTGCTCCTCCGTGTCTTTCGGAACCAGAAATAACGAGCAGGGAAACGATTTCGGGGAGTTTCTAGTTTCGGCACCTGTCTCTTAGGTGCTGTGATATATCCGTATGCGCTGCGTAATCGCCCCACGGCACAGCGGGCAGGTATGGAGGGCGTCCCCGCATTTTGAGCAGCAACACACATGTCCACAGGTGAGAAAGATGGTCTGAGCCTAGAGATGACAGAGCAGGGTGTTATTACAGTTACTGGCTATGGTACGCCCACCCCGTGTACTAGCAGCTCAGATAGTATCAGATATATAGGATTAAAAGTCTTTTTTGTGCTACCATTCTGCTTTGCCCTTTCATAACGTTTATAGTATCATAAAGTTATTAAGAAAATGCATTAAAATGAAATAAACAAAAAAGGACAATAATTAAGATTTATTATTAGTAATGTGACCTGCCTCCTGTTCACTGCCGAGAATCTGTCAGTTCCAGCGCAGTTACCGTGAGATCAGCAAAAAGGCGGTGTCTAATCTCTCTGCACCGCAGTTACTGTCTCACTGCGAGAAAGGGTTCTAAATGACTAGAAATTAAAGTGTTTGCCATCATACCCCCAATGAACACAATGATAACAAGGGTGTCCCCCAATAGAGGCACAGCGCTCCCTTCTTCCTGAGCCTACACTAATATGGAGCGCAGCCCTTCTGCAATCGCCTGTATAGAGAATGGAAGTCTGTACCACAGCCGGGACAGAGCCGATTTCTCCTATATTTGATCTCTGCATACAGTAAATGGCAGAATGACTAACTTGGCCAGCGAGCACCATAACTACTGAGCAAGCATGTAGACCATTTTGGGCATTTGCTACGCAGCACTTGGTGTCTAATGAAATCCGCTGTGAGTTTTTACCTCTTGCTCCAAGCAGACGACGCACTCAGAGTTCCTATTGGTCACTTCGGTTAAGGGGAAAGAAGGAGATTCAAGGCTGGGTTGGATGTCTTGGGGTGCACTCGGCTCAACTTCTTGAGGTACACTTGGCATTAGTTCATTAGGTGTAATGTTATCCACAACTTTGAGTTTTTCTGAAACCATGTAAAACAGTTTTAAGAATTGCAGTGGTTTTGGTTACGCCATGTGAACGGGTCTGCTGCAGACCAATATCTAGTGGAGGCCAACAACAAGATCATTTGACTAAATTCAAAGATGGCTAAACCTGCAACTTCTTGGCATAAAGTAAGAGTAAAAATATGTTTATAATGTCATGAAAGAAATGTTACACAGAAAAAGAATCAGAGACAGGTAAGTGGTACTTAATGTTATAGGAAAAGCCTCAGCCTCTTAACCCCCATGTCTGAATCTAATATATGTTACACTAGCGAGTCCTGAACGGTAGAAACAGGTAAAACGCTAATCAAAAGCAAAAGTGGAGGATTCTATAGAATGTTACTGGAGAGGAGGATTCTATTTAATGTTACTAGAGAGGAGGACTCTATAGAATGTTACTGGAGAGGGGGATTCTATTTAATGTTACTAGAGAGGAGGACTCTATAGAATGTTACTGGAGAGGGGGATTCTATAGAATGTTACTGGAGAGGGGGATTCTATAGAATGTTACTGGAGAGGTGGATTCTATAGAATGTTACTGGAGAGGGGGATTCTATAGAATGTTAGTAGAGAGGAGGATTCTATAGAATGTTACTGGAGAAGAGGGTTCTATAGAATGTTACTGGAGAGGGGGATTCTATAGAATGTTACTGAAAGGAGGATTCTATAGAATGTTAGTAGAGAGGGGGATTCTATAGAATGTTACTGAAAGGAGGATTCTATAGAATGTTAGTAGAGAGGAGGATTCTATAGAATGTTACTAGAGAAGAGGGTTCTATAGAATGTTAGTAGAGAGGAGGATTCTATAGAATGTTACTAGAGAGGAGGATTCTATAGAATGTTAGTAGAGAGGAGGATTCTATAGAATGTTACTGGAGAAGAGGGTTCTATAGAATGTTACTGAAAGGAGGATTCTATAGAATGTTAGTAGAGAGGAGGATTCTATAGAATGTTACTAGAGAGGAGGATTCTATAGAATGTTACTGGAGAAGAGGGTTCTATAGAATGTTACTGGAGAAGAGGGTTCTATAGAATGTTACTGGAGAGGAGGATTCTATAGAATGTTACTGGAGAGGAGGATTCTATAGAATGTTACTGGAGAGGAGGATTCTATAGAATGTTACTGGAGAGGGGGATTCTATAGAATGTTACTGGAGAGGGGGATTCTATAGAATGTTACTGGAGAGAAGGATTCTATAGACTGTTACTGGAGAGGAGGGTTCTATAGAATGTTACTGGAGAAGAGGGTTCTGTAGAATGTTACTGGAGAGGAGGGTTCTATAGAATGTTACTGGAGAGGAGGATTCTATAGAATGTTACTGGAGAGGAGGATTCTATAGAATGTTACTGGAGAGGAGGATTCTATAGAATGTTACTGGAGAGGAGGGTTCTATAGAATGTTACTGGAGAGGGGGATTCTATAGAATGTTACTGGAGAGGGGATTCTATAGAATGTTACTGGAGAGGAGGATTCTATAGAATGTTACTGGAGAGGAGGATTCTATAGAATGTTAGTAGAGAGGAGGATTCTATAGAATGTTACTGGAGAGGGGGATTCTATAGAATGTTACTGGAGAGGAGGATTCTATAGAATGTTACTGGAGAAGAGGGTTCTATAGAATGTTATTGGAGAAGAGGGTTCTATAGAATGTTACTAGAGAGGAGGATTCTATAGAATGTTACTGGAGAGGAGGGTTCTATAAAATGTTACTGGAGAGGAGGATTCTATAGAATGTTACTGGAGAGGAGGGTTCTATAGAATGTTACTGGAGAGGGGGTTTCTATAGAATGTTACTGGAGAGGGGGATTCTATAGAATGTTACTGGAGAGAAGGATTCTATAGACTGTTACTGTAGGGGAGGATTCTATAGAATGTTACTGGAGAGGAGGATTCTATAGAATGTTACTGGAGAGGAGAATTCTATAGAATGTTACTGGAGAGGAGGACTCTATTTAATGTTACTGGAGAGGAGGATTCTATAGAATGTTACTGGAGAAGAGGGTTCTATAGAATGTTACAGGAGAGAAGGGTTCTACAGAATGTTACTGGAGAGGAGGATTCTATAGAATGTTACTGGATGGAGGACTCTATTTAATGTTACTGGAGAGGAGGATTCTATATAATGTTACTAGAGAAGAGGGTTCTATAGAATGTTACTGGAGAAGAGGGGTCTATAGAATGTTACTGGAGAAGAGGGTTCTGTAGAATGTTACTGGAGTGGAGGACTCTATAGAATGTTACTGGAGTGGAGGGTTCTATAGAATGTTACTGGAGAGGGGGATTCTATAGAATGTTACTGGAGAAGAGGGTTCTATAGATTGTTACTGGAGAAGAGGGTTCTATAGAATGTTACTGGAGAAGAGGGTTCTGTAGAATGTTACTGGAGAGGAGGACTCTATTTAATGTTACTGAAGAAGAGGGTTCTATAGATTGTTACTGGAGAGGAGGGTTCTATAGAATGTTACTGGAGAAAAGGGTTCTATAGACTGTTACTGGAGAAGAGGGTTCTATAGAATGTTACTGGAGAAGAGGGTTCTATAGAATGTTACTGGAGAAGAGGGTTCTATAGAATGTTACTGGAGAAGAGGGTTCTGTAGAATGTTACTGGAGAGGAGGATTCTATAGAATGTTACTGGAGAGGAGGATTCTATAGAATGTTACTGGAGAGGGGGATTCTATAGAATGTTACTGGAGAGAAGAATTCTATAGACTGTTACTGTAGGGGAGGATTCTATAGAATGTTACTGGAGAAGAGGGTTCTATAGAATGTTACTGGAGAAGAGGGTTCTGTAGAATGTTACTGGAGAGGAGGATTCTATAGAATGTTACTGGAGAAAAGGGTTCTATAGACTGTTACTGGAGAAGAGGGTTCTATAGAATGTTACTGGAGAAGAGGGTTCTATCGAATGTTACTGGAGAAGAGGGTTCTGTAGAATGTTACTGGAGAGGAGGATTCTATAGAATGTTACTGGAGAGGAGGATTCTATAGAATGTTACTGGAGAGGGGGATTCTATAGAATTTTACTGGAGAGGGGGATTCTACAGAATGTTACTGGAGAGGAGGATTCTATTTAATGTTACTAGAGAGGAGGACTCTATAGAATGTTACTGGAGAGGGGGATTCTATAGAATGTTACTGGAGAGGGGGATTCTATAGAATGTTACTGGAGAGGGGGATTCTATAGAATGTTACTGGAGAGGGGGATTATATAGAATGTTAGTAGAGAGGAGGATTCTATAGAATGTTACTGGAGAAGAGGGTTCTATAGAATGTTACTGGAGAGGGGGATTCTATAGAATGTTACTGAAAGGAGGATTCTATAGAATGTTAGTAGAGAGGGGGATTCTATAGAATGTTACTGAAAGGAGGATTCTATAGAATGTTAGTAGAGAGGAGGATTCTATAGAATGTTACTAGAGAAGAGGGTTCTATAGAATGTTAGTAGAGAGGAGGATTCTATAGAATGTTACTAGAGAGGAGGATTCTATAGAATGTTAGTAGAGAGGAGGATTCTATAGAATGTTACTGGAGAAGAGGGTTCTATAGAATGTTACTGAAAGGAGGATTCTATAGAATGTTACTGGAGAGGAGGATTCTATAGAATGTTACTGGAGAGGAGGGTTCTATAGAATGTTACTGGAGAGGGGGATTCTATAGAATGTTACTGGAGAGGGGGATTCTATAGAATGTTACTGGAGAGGAGGATTCTATAGAATGTTACTGGAGAGGAGGATTCTATAGAATGTTAGTAGAGAGGAGGATTCTATAGAATGTTACTGGAGAGGGGGATTCTATAGAATGTTACTGGAGAGGAGAATTCTATAGAATGTTACTGGAGAAGAGGGTTCTATAGAATGTTATTGGAGAAGAGGGTTCTATAGAATGTTACTAGAGAGGAGGATTCTATAGAATGTTACTGGAGAGGAGGGTTCTATAAAATGTTACTGGAGAGGAGGATTCTATAGAATGTTACTGGAGAGGAGGGTTCTATAGAATGTTACTGGAGAGGGGGTTTCTATAGAATGTTACTGGAGAGGGGGATTCTATAGAATGTTACTGGAGAGAAGGATTCTATAGAATGTTACTGGAGGGGAGGATTCTGTAGAAAGTTACTGGAGAAGAGGGTTCTATAGAATCTTACTGGAGAAGAGGGTTCTATAGAATGTTACTAGAGAGGAGGATTCTATAGAATGTTACTGGAGAGGAGGGTTCTATAAAATGTTACTGGAGAGGAGGATTCTATAGACTGTTACTGTAGGGGAGGATTCTATAGAATGTTACTGGAGAAGAGGGTTCTATAGAATGTTACTGGAGAAGAGGGTTCTGTAGAATGTTACTGGAGAGGAGGATTCTATAGAATGTTACTGGAGAAAAGGGTTCTATAGACTGTTACTGGAGAAGAGGGTTCTATAGAATGTTACTGGAGAAGAGGGTTCTATAGAATGTTACTGGAGAGGAGGATTCTATAGAATGTTACTGGAGAGGGGGATTCTATAGAATGTTACTGGAGAGAAGGATTCTATAAACTGTTACTGTAGGGGAGGATTCTATAGAAAGTTACTGGAGAGGGGGATTCTATAGAATGTTACTGGAGAGGAGGATTCTATAGAATGTTACTGGAGAGGAGGATTCTATAGAATGTTACTGGAGAGGAGGATTCTATAGAATGTTACTAGAGAAGAGGGTTCTATAGAATGTTACTGGAGAAGAGGGTTCTATAGAATGTTACTGGAGAGGAGGGTTCTATAGAATGTTACTGGAGAGGAGGGTTCTACAGAATGTTACTGGAGAGGAGGGTTCTATAGAATGTTACTGGAGAAGAGGGTTCTATAGAATGTTACTGGAGAGGAGGATTCTATAGAATGTTACTGGAGAGGAGTATTCTATAGAATGTTACTGGAGAAGAGGGTTCAATAGAATGTTACTGGAAAGGAGGGTTCTATAGAATGTTACTGGAGTGGAGGGTTCTATAGACTGTTACTATAGAGGAGGATTCTATAGAATGTTACTGGAGAAGAGGGTTCTATAGAATGTTAGTAGAGAGGAGGATTCTATAGAATGTTACTGGAGAGGGGGATTCTATAGAATGTTACTGGAGAGGAGAATTCTATAGAATGTTACTGGAGAGGAGGGTTCTATAGAATGTTACTGGAGAGGAGGGTTCTATAGAATGTTACTGGAGAGGAGGGTTCTATAGAATGTTACTGGATAAGAGGGTTCTATAGAATGTTACAGGAGTGGAGGACTTTATAGAATGTTACTGGAGAGAAGGATTCTATAGACTGTTACTGTAGGGGAGGATTCTATAGAAAGTTACTGGAGAGGGGGATTCTATAGAATGTTACTGGAGTGGAGGTTCTATAGACTGTTACTATAGGGAGGGATTCTATAGAATGTTGTTACACTGGAGGAAGAGGTTCTATAGAATGTTACTGGAGAAAAGGGTTCTATAGATTGTTACTGGAGAGGAGGGTTCTATAGAATGTTACTGGAGAGAAGATAGTTTCTATAGACTGTTACTGGAGAAGAGGTTCTGTAGAATGTTACTGGAGAGGAGGGGTTCTGGCAAGAATGTTACTGGAGGAGGATTCTATAGAATGTTACTCTGGAGAGGAGGATTCTATAGAATGTTACTGGAGAGGAGGGTTCTATAGAATGTTACTGGAGAGGGGGATTCTATAGAATGTTACTGGAGAGGGGGATTCTATAGAATGTTACTGGAGAGGAGGATTCTATAGAATGTTACTGGAGAGGAGGATTCTATAGAATGTTAGTAGAGAGGAGGATTCTATAGAATGTTACTGGAGAGGGGGATTCTATAGAATGTTACTGGAGAGGAGAATTCTATAGAATGTTACTGGAGAAGAGGGTTCTATAGAATGTTATTGGAGAAGAGGGTTCTATAGAATGTTACTAGAGAGGAGGATTCTATAGAATGTTACTGGAGAGGAGGGTTCTATAAAATGTTACTGGAGAGGAGGATTCTATAGAATGTTACTGGAGAGGAGGGTTCTATAGAATGTTACTGGAGAGGAGGGTTCTATAGAATGTTACAGGAGTGGAGGACTCTATAGAATGTTACTGGAGAGAAGGATTCTATAGAATGTTACTGTAGGGGAGGATTCTATAGAAAGTTACTGGAGAGGGGGATTCTATAGAATGTTACTGGAGAGAAGGATTCTATAGACTGTTACTGTAGGGGAGGATTCTATAGAAAGTTACTGGAGAGGGGGATTCTATAGAATGTTACTGGAGAGGGGGATTCTATAGAATGTTACTGGAGAGGAGAATTCTATAGAATGTTACTGGAGAGGAGGACTCTATTTAATGTTACTGGAGAGGAGGATTCTATAGAATGTTACTGGAGAAGAGGGGTCTATAGAATGTTACTGGAGAAGAGGGTTCTGTAGAATGTTACTGGAGTGGAGGGTTCTATAGAATGTTATTGGAGAGGGGGATTCTATAGAATGTTACTGGAGAAGAGGGTTCTATAGATTGTTACTGGAGAAGAGGGTTCTATAGAATGTTACTGGAGAAGAGGGTTCTGTAGAATGTTACTGGAGAGGAGGATTCTATAGAATGTTACTGAAGAGGAGGATTCTATAGAATGTTACTGGAGAGGAGGGTTCTATTTAATGTTACTGGAAAGGAGGATTCTATATAATGTTACTAGAGAAGAGGGTTCTATAGAATACTGGAGAGGAGGATTCTATAGAATGTTACTAGAGAGGAGACTTCTATAGAATGTTACTGGAGAGGAGGACTCTATTTAATGTTACTGGAGAGGAGGATTCTATAGAATGTTACTGGAGAGGAGGACTCTATTTAATGTTACTGGAGAGGAGGATTCTATAGAATGTTACTGGAGAAGAGGGTTCTATAGAATGTTACTGGAGAAGAGGATTTTATAGAATGTTACTGGAGAGGAGGATTCTATAGAATGTTACTGGAGTGGAGGACTCTATAGAATGTTACTGGAGTGGAGGGTTCTATAGACTGTTACTGTAGAGGAGGATTCTATAGAATGTTACTGGAGAAGAGGGTTCTATAGAATGTTACTGGAGAAAAGGGTTCTATAGATTGTTACTGGAGAGGAGGGTTCTATAGAATGTTACTGGAGAAGATGGTTCTATAGACTGTTACTGGAGAAGAGGGTTCTGTAGAATGTTACTGGAGAGGAGGGTTCTGTAGAATGTTACTGGAGAGGAGGATTCTATAGAATGTTACTGGAGAGGAGGGTTCTATAGAATGTTACTGGAGAGGGGGATTCTATAGAATGTTACTGGAGAGGGGGATTCTATAGAATGTTACTAGAGAGGAGGATTCTATAGAATGTTACTGGAGAGGAGGATTCTATAGAATGTTAGTAGAGAGGAGGATTCTATAGAATGTTACTGGAGAGGGGGATTCTATAGAATGTTACTGGAGAGGAGAATTCTATAGAATGTTACTGGAGAAGAGGGTTCTATAGAATGTTATTGGAGAAGAGGGTTCTATAGAATGTTACTAGAGAGGAGGATTCTATAGAATGTTACTGGAGAGGAGGGTTCTATAGAATGTTACTGGAGAGGAGGATTCTATAGAATGTTACTGGAGAGGAGGGTTCTATAGAATGTTACTGGAGAAGAGGGTTCTATAGATTGTTACTGGAGAGGAGGGTTCTATAGAATGTTACTGGAGAGGAGGGTTCTATAGAATGTTACTGGAGAAGAGGGTTCTATAGATTGTTACTGGAGAGGAGGGTTCTATAGAATGTTACTGGATAAGAGGGTTCTATAGAATGTTACTGGAGAGGAGGGTTCTGTAGAATGTTACAGGAGTGGAGGACTCTATAGAATGTTACTGGAGAGAAGGATTCTATAGACTGTTACTGTAGGGGAGGATTCTATAGAAAGTTACTGGAGAGGGGGATTCTATAGAATGTTACTGGAGAGGGGGATTCTATAGAATGTTACTGGAGAGAAGGATTCTATAGACTGTTACTGTAGGGGAGGATTCTATAGAAAGTTACTGGAGAGGGGGATTCTATAGAATGTAACTGGAGAGGGGAATTCTATAGAATGTTACTGGAGAGGAGAATTCTATAGAATGTTACTGGAGAGGAGGACTCTATTTAATGTTACTGGAGAGGAGGATTCTATAGAATGTTACTGGAGAAGAGGGTTCTATAGAATGTTACTGGAGAGAAGGGTTCTACAGAATGTTACTGGAGAGGAGGATTCTATAGAATGTTACTGGAGAGGAGGACTCTATTTAATGTTACTGTAGGGGAGGATTCTATAGAATGTTACTGGAGAAGAGGGTTCTATAGAATGTTACTGGAGAAGAGGGTTCTGTAGAATGTTACTGGAGAGGAGGATTCTATAGAATGTTACTGGAGAAAAGGGTTCTATAGACTGTTACTGGAGAAGAGGGTTCTATAGAATGTTACTGGAGAAGAGGGTTCTATCGAATGTTACTGGAGAAGAGGGTTCTGTAGAATGTTACTGGAGAGGAGGATTCTATAGAATGTTACTGGAGAGGGGGATTCTATAGAATGTTACTGGAGAGAAGGATTCTATAGAATGTTACTGGAGAGGGGGATTCTATAGAATGTTACTGGAGAGGAGGGTTCTATAAAATGTTACTGGAGAGGAGGATTCTATAGAATGTTACTGGAGAGGAGGGTTCTATAGAATGTTACTGGAGAGGGGGTTCTATAGAGTTACTGGAGAGGGGGTTCTATAGAATGTTACTGGAGAGGAGGGTTCTATAGAATGTTACTGGAGAGAAGGATTCTATAGATGTTACTGGAGAGGAGGGTTCTATAGAATGTTACTGGAGAAGAGGTTCTATAGACTGTTACTGGAGAAGAGGGTTCTGTAGAATGTTACTGGAGAGGAGGGTTCTATAGAATGTTACTGGAGAGGAGGATTCTATAGAATGTTAATGGAGAGGAGGATTCTATAGAATGTTACTGGAGAGGAGGGTTCTATAGAATGTTACTGGAGAGGGGGATTCTATAGAATGTTACTGGAGAGGGGGATTCTATAGAATGTTACTGGAGAGGAGGATTCTATAGAATGTTACTGGAGAGGAGGATTCTATAGAATGTTACTGGAGAGGAGGATTCTATAGAATGTTACTGGAGAGGAGGATTCTATAGAATGTTACTGGAGAGGAGGATTCTATAGAATGTTACTGGAGAGGAGGGTTCTATAGAATGTTACTGGAGAGGGGGATTCTATAGAATGTTACTGGAGAGGGGGATTCTATAGAATGTTACTGGAGAGAAGGATTCTATAGAATGTTACTGGAGGGGAGGATTCTGTAGAAAGTTACTGGAGAAGAGGGTTCTATAGAATGTTACTGGAGAAGAGGGTTCTATAGAATGTTACTAGAGAGGAGGATTCTATAGAATGTTACTGGAGAGGAGGGTTCTATAAAATGTTACTGGAGAGGAGGATTCTATAGAATGTTACTGGAGAGGAGGGTTCTATAGAATGTTACTGGAGAGGAGGGTTCTATAGAATGTTACTGGAGAGGAGGGTTCTATAGAATGTTACTGGAGAGGAGGGTTCTATAGAATGTTACTGGATAAGATTCTATAGAATGTTACTGGAGAGGAGAATTCTATAGAATGTTACTGGAGAGGATGACTCTATTTAATGTTACTGGAGAGGAGGATTCTATAGAATGTTACTGTAGAAGAGGGTTCTATAGAATGTTACTGGAGAGAAGGGTTCTACAGAATGTTACTGGAGAGGAGGATTCTATAGAATGTTACTGGAGAGGAGGACTCTATTTAATGTTACTGGAGAGGAGGATTCTATATAATGTTACTAGAGAAGAGGGTTCTATAGAATGTTACTGGAGAAGATGGGTCTATAGAAATATTTATTTTTAATTATTTTTTTAAGTTTTATTGAGTGATAAAGTGCAGTACAACAAAATAGTGCATTTTGAAGAAAGTAACACATTGCATCAGTGGTATAACCTTAGTGCGAAAATGCAAACAGTATTTGGTACACTAGCTTTTTACATATATTAGTTTTATAAGGTTATCAGGCCCAACATGGTGGAAGATTGGTGTTGTGTGCATTTGGGAGGGTTTCCGCACTGGGTTCCGGAGTCGGTGTCCGGCTACTATCTATGATTCCCCTGGAGGAATTGGAGCCAAGGAGACCAGGTAATGTGGTATTCGTCATATTTAAGAGTGAAAGAGTAGGATAGTTCTTCCATTGTTCTAATGGAATCTACTCTGGCTATCCAGGCTCTGTTAGGAGGTGGTTGAGGAGGATACGCTGGTGTTTGGCTAGAGGTTGGTGATAGAGTAGGAACAGCATGGTTTCGGGTTTCTTGGGAAGGTTGATGCCCGTTATAGTACCTATAAGGTTGGTGATCTTTCCTCAGTAATCTTGGATCACCGGGCATAGCCACCAAATGTGGCTTGTGGTTCCTGCTACTTGTTTGCACCTCCAGCATGTGTTGTGTGAGTTGGGGAAGAACATATTGATGCAGGTGGGGGTATAGTGCCACCTAGCTATTCTTTTATAGTTGCCTTCGTGGGTGCGATGTGTGGACATTTTTTTGCAAATCTTTTGTTAGAGTCTACGTGTTTAGCTCCTTGTCCCACTGTGTTATGTAGTTTGGTAGGGTCTCCTCATGTTGTTGGCGGATCATTTTATAGAACGATGAGATTAGATTATGTAGTGTGTGGTGAGTACATTGTGTTTCGAATGCTGTAAGGTTTCTATGACCTTGGAGGAGTGTGTGGTCTGATTGTATGAAGTGTTTGATCTGTGAGTGTCTAAGTCTGGCCATACCCGAAGGTTCAGTGTTAGGGATCAGGTCCTCTAGGGGGGCAATTCCCTTGTCGTTGAGAACGTCACCTAAGGAGAGTGTGTGGGTCTTTTTAGGGAAGCTTTGGAAGGCTGTTGGGTTTGAACCAGGGAGAAAGGAGGGGTTCTCCGTTATTGGATATAGTGGTGATGGGTGAGGTGCGAGGATTCTATTTAATGTTACTGGAGAGGAGGATTCTATAGAATGTTACTGGAGAGGAGGATTCTATAGAATGTTACTGGAGAGGAGGGTTCTATAGAATGTTACTGGAGAAAAGGGTTCTATAGACTGTTACTGGAGAAGAGGGTTCTATAGAATGTTACTGGAGAAGAGGGTTCTATAGAATGTTACTGGAGAAGAGGGTTCTATAGAATGTTACTGGAGAAGAGGGTTCTATAGAATGTTATTGGAGAGGAGGGTTCTATAGAATGTTACTGGAGAGGAGGATTCTATAGAATGTTACTGGAGTGGAGGATTCTATAGAATGTTACTAGAGAGGAGGATTCTATAGAATGTTACTAGAGAGGAGGATTCTGTAGAATGTTACTAAAGAGGAGGATTCTATAGTGTCTAAAAACTGGCTGAGCATCAAGGGAAATGTAGTCCAGAAACAATTTATGGTGTCAAGGTTAGCCATCACTGCTATAGAACATTACTATAGAGGAGAATTCAATAGAATGTTACTGGAAAGGAGGATTCTATAGAATGTTATTGTAGAGGAGGGTTCTATAGAATGTTACTGGAGAGGAGGGTTCTATAAAATGTTACTGGAGAGGAGGATTCTATAGAATATTACTGGAGAGGAGGATTCTATAGGATGTTACTGGAGAGGGGGATTCTATAGAATGTTACTGGAGAGGAGGATTCTATAGAATGTTGGTAGAGAGGAGGATTCTATAGAATGTTACTGGAGAGGGGGATTCTATAGAATGTTAGTAGAGAGGAGGATTCAATAGAATGTTAGTAGAGAGGAGGATTCTATAGAATGTTAGTAGAGAGGAGGATTCTATAGAATGTTACTGGAGTGGAGGATTCTATAGAATACTGGAGAGGAGGATTCTATAGAATGTTACTAGAGAGGAGACTTCTATAGAATGTTACTGGAGAGGAGGACTCTATTTAATGTTACTGGAGAGGAGGATTCTATAGAATGTTACTGGAGAGGAGGACTCTATTTAATGTTACTGGAGAGGAGGATTCTATAGAATGTTACTGGAGAGGAGGACTCTATTTAATGTTACTGGAGAGGAGGATTCTATAGAATGTTACTGGAGAGGAGGGTTCTATAGAATGTTACTGGAGAAGAGGGTTCTATAGATTGTTACTGGAGAGGAGGGTTCTATAGAATGTTACTGGAGAGGGGGATTCTATAGAATGTTACTGGAGAGGAGGATTCTATAGAATGTTACTGGAGAGGAGGGTTCTATAGAATGTTATTGGAGAGGAGGGTTCTATAGAATGTTACTGGAGAGGAGGACTCTATTTAATGTTACTGGAGAGGAGGGTTCTATAGAATGTTACTGGAGAAGAGGGTTCTATAGAATGTTATTGGAGAGGAGGATTCTATAGAATGTTACAGGAGTGGAGGACTCTATAGAATGTTACTGGAGTGGAGGGTTCTATAGAACAGTGATGGCTAACCTTGACACCATAAACTGTTTCTGGACTACATTTCCCATGATGCTCAGCTAGCTTTTGGTGTCAAAAGAATTCTATCCTCCTCTCCAGTAACATTCTACTGGAGAAGAGGGTTCTATAGAATGTTACTGGAGAAGAGGGTTCTATAGAATGTTACTGGAAAGGAAGATTCTATAGAATGTTACTGAAAACAACAACTCAACGTGATCAAGATTTAATACAATATTACTGGATGGAGGAGGGTTTCTATTAAATGTTAAAGGAATGGGATTCTATAGAACATTATAGAAGAAGGAATAATATAGAATATTAGAGGACAGAATGGTAATATGATTACATGTTGTAGATTATCACAGAATATAGAACAGAACGAGAGAGAGAGAGAACAGACACAGACTATTAGAAGATTACAAGAAGTACCTTTTCTGAGTCTCCAGATCTCTCTTGCTCGATCGATGATGGAAATCTGTAGTCCCACTTCCTGCACTCCAAGCTAAGGCACAGAAATGAGTAATTAGGGGAAAGTATGACAGAAGAATATAGGGGTGGGAGAAGCCAAACCAAAAATCTACTATTTCCAGAGGTATTGAAGGGACACTCTAAGCATCATGACCAATTAATTTCATTAAAGTGGTTATGGTGCCTGAGTACACCAGGTGCAGTCCTCAATTTTAAAGAGTTTTCTAGTGGTGTAACATTGAATGAGGTTCCCTGACAACCTGGCTACTCTCTGCGGCACCTGGTCATCAGCTGACCTGGTATGAGTTGGTACAGAGCAATAACTCCACATTGGACTGAGCTGCAGGAGTCTGGGGACCCTCCAACAGTGTTACAAAATCCCAAAATGGTTTAATAGTAAAGTGTGGGATAGTGATAGATGAGGGAAGTGAATATGGTGCCTAGAAGGTGCCTTTAAGGATAATCCAATCATTAAAATTCTTCCAACAAAAAGATGAATTATTTAAAGGTTATATATTTGTCTAATGCACTCAGTTTTGGTTACAATATTTTAGGGAGTCTAACAGATCTGCAACTCTTAATTTAGTCTCATTAACACAACGCTGACGTTTCGTACCTTTTTAAGGTCGTTGGGAGTCATCTTCTCCAACATCTCCAGCGAGAAACGATGGTGAGCGAATATCGGAAGGTACTTCTCTGCAGAAAGTTCTTTCAGGAGACTCACTAGATCTTGCTCCAATCCTTCTTCCTAGAAAAGGAATCCGACAGTGGCCATATGTAGTATGTGTGTAAGCCACGTATAACAGCATGGATCCAGTTATCAGCTGGTCATCAATGCACATCATTCCTTTAGATAGGAAGATCATGTCTTGAATAGCACTTTGCTGAATTTTAGATTATAGCCCCCCTCTACTTTACGCCTGATAATATACTCCTCTCCAGTGTTAAATGTGGCAGCAAATTTCAATTTTGTTTTAGTCATAGTCTTTTGACTAAAAAGACATTTTAGTTTTAGTCATATTTTAGTCATCTGAATTGTTTTAGCAGAATAAATCTCCAGTGGATTTTAGTCAACACGACCAAAATCTATTGGGTTTAGTTAAAGACTGTATTTGTCTCTTTTTCCCTTTCCCCAGCCACTCTGTGTCTCTTTGTGTCCTCACAGCCACTCTAGCTGTCTCTCTCCCAAGCACTGGTCTGTCTTTTTCCCCAGCCCCAGCCCCTCTGTGTCTCTTTGTGTCCCCCAGCCCCTCTAGGCGTCTCTCTCCCAAACCCTGGTCTGTCTCTTTTGCCCCTTCCACAGCCCCTCTGTGTCCCCCAGCCCCTCTAGGTGTCTCTCTCCCAAGCCCTGGTCTGTCTTTTTCCCCAGCCCCAGCCCCTCCGTGTCTCTTTGTGTCCTCCCAGCCCTTCTAGGTGTCTATCTCACAACCCCTGGTCTGTCTCTTGTGCCCCTCCCACAGCCCCTCTGTGCAGTGTTTACTTTTGCTTCAATTTTCAATTTAGATTTAGTCGTATTTTAGTCGTCTGAATTGTTTTAGTTTCAGTTGACTAAATCTCAAAACTGTTAGGCAACTAAAATTTGACTAAAATTGTTGGTAGACAAAATGAACACTGCTCCTCTCTCACCCTACTTTAAATATTTAAGTGCTTTGCATGAGAGGTTAAGTACAAACTGTCTAATAAATCTAGATCCGCACTGGAATTCTGACTCCTCGCTCAGTAAATGATCTTTACGTAGAAGGCTCCCATGTAACTATATTGGGAGATATTTCTATTAGTTCAGGTACATATAATCACAATTTCATTCAGTGTCTGTTTCAGACTTGATATTTATTTCTACACAATCATTCAATATAAATAAAGGGTTAGTCGTTCCTTGCTGCAGGATGACCTGGGTTCACACTGCGTTAGGCAGGTGGTCAGGACGATCGTCATATTACTCTGTATAATAATATTAATGTCCAAAAGTAGATAAATGTCAGCGCTGTGCAATAGCCCCAAATAAGTGTTTGTGGGGAAGCTTTCATCTTATCTTTGCAGACAGACACCTTTGGCAGTAAGTGCTTTGTCATGCCTACATTTGAACTTGCAGCATTTCGGCTGGATACTTGGACATTTTCTGGATTCCTGCTGCACCAACGGAGTGGTAATCCTTTCAGCACACTGCTTATCTGCTACATATCCTGGACTCTGTTTGGATCCTTAGATGGAAAGTAGGATTTAAACACCATCTTTTTTACGGTGTATGAGTTTTTTAAAGGATTTGGATTTTTATTTTTACATTATGTTAATAAACTGTGTTGCACTTTCTTTGCTTGGTTTGTATCTTTGAAGATACGTTACTGTGATCACTGCTGTTGGATACAAAGTTTACACAGAATACTCCTAATTTCCTAAACCACCGCTGTGGAGGTGGAAATCATAGACATTTATCTCAATACCCAACTTCCCCATAAACACTTATTTGGGGCTATTGCACAGCGCTGACATTTATCTACTTTTGGACATTCTATCACATAGGTTTGCGGAATAACCTTTTATGTCTGGCAGCTAAAAAAAATGTATCTTTGGACTTTTAATATTTGGTGTCATACAGATGATTTAATTTTATATTGCGCTTTTTTGTTCTGTTTTTTTGTGTATAATAATATTAATACCACAACACGTATCCAGACTCCTGCTCTCACCTGGAGTCTGAGAGACAGCGGCTTCTGGTTTAGCAGGCGCTGATACTGGATCAACCAGTAATTCTCCTGATTGGCTTCACTTTTTGCATCCATTTGGCGCTGAGGGAAAAAACAAAGTCACAAATATCTAGGATTAGCCCATGAGATAGAAGACCATAACATTAGCCGCCAGTCCACATGAAATGCCGTGGACGGTTTAATTTCTAGAGACTATTAGTTATAGAATCATTCATGCAAAGATAGATTTCTGGTTATTATATGCCTTTAATTATACCAGTGTGTGGCATTGTTGGTTTGTTGTTAGTGATTGCTGTATTCAGACAATATTACAGACATGTAGAGAGATGAAAGCTATTTTACCAACACATCCAGAAGCTCTTCCTCTCTCTGCTTCTTATCTTTCAGGAGTTGTTGTAAGAGTTCGCTGAGTGTGAGGCGTTGCGCTGAGATTTCTTCCTGCAGCAAATTGAAAACAGAATCATTCACAGTAAAATCACCTGCGCCTTGAAACCGGGGTTCGGGAATTGTAACACGAAAATGGATGGACAATCCCCCCCTAAAACACAGGAGGGTAAGCTTTATTAAACCTTGGAAGGGATTCAAAGATAAATGCTACTTCATGGTGATCTCTCCCCCCTCAGGGGTCAATACAAAATATGAGCATCACAAAAGGGGCGTGAGGATACTGGAGAGTTTTATTTGAAATAAGGAATAAATTAGAAAAATAATATTTTGTGGAAAAAAAATCACTACAAGTCAAATCTGGGATTTATTGGGATCTATTGTGTCAATATGTTCTCACACACGAGAAGCAAGGCAGGGGAAGGTGATGGGAAGGTGATGGCCAAAACAGAAATGGTCTTCTCACATTTGGTTGAAAGCGATGATTCGGCAAAGGAAAATGAAAACAATGCAATGACCCCTGAGTTTTACCTATTTATCCTGAAAATTCAATCACAAGATTGCGAGTTGCAAAGTCTAGTATATGGGGTGGAATAAAAGGGGTGTGATGGTGGGGTACAGGAGGGTTAGCAAGGGTTGAAGAAGGGAGATAAGGATACAGAGAGGGGGGGCCTAGGTGCAAGATGTGAGTGTGGAATAGAGGCCGGGGGGTTGGGAACCAAAAGATGATGAAGTCTGCTGTATGATGGGACAGGTGGGAGAGGCATGAGGTAACGAGGGGTTATCAGACAGGGAACGAGAGGGAGAAGTACAGACTCTTTGCTGTATGTCTGCTGCCTGGACACTGCCAGGGCGGTCAGGATTGCCGTGCCCTCCCGTATTACAAAGACTGATCCTTCAGACCTTTAGTCTACTTCCAAATACTCTATCCTAGCGAGGACACAATCATAGCAAGGACGCAGACGGCAACAAATACCAACAGAAGGAAAATGTACAAATATTATATACAAGACACACGAAGAGTGACTACATATAAAGACACGAGGCATCGCATACGCACCGACATACATATATACCAACAGGACGTAGAGAATGTACGAAAGATAAATCATTTCTATACGCAGAAAGAGAAACATCACTATATAGACGCAGATAGAAATATATAGCATGTATGCACAAAGGGAAAGGCGCTTTATATACGCACAAACAGAAACATACACTGTATACACACAAACAGAAACATACACTGTATATGCAGAGAGGTAAAAATTTACTTTACATAGGCACAAAGAGATAAATGTACATTATATACGTACAAAGAAAAACGTACTTTAAATACACACAAACTGAAACCTACAAAGAGGTAAACTATATTATATATGCACAACGAGAAACATACAGGGAGGTAAACATACTTTATATACGCACAAAGAGAATCGTACATTATATACGCACTAAGACGTAAACGTACTTTATATACGCACAAAGAGAATCGTACATTATATACGCACTAAGACGTAAACTTACTTTATATACGCAGAAATATACAGAGAGCTGAACGTACTTTATATACGCACAAAGTGAAATATACTTAGACACAAAGAAAAGTTGAAATATATGGATAGATTTATCAAAGTGTTGCCAAAACTTCACGACTAATTTTCAGAGAATACTTGGCACTATTTATTAAATCTGTTGTTGCGTATTTTGCTTCCTAACCATACATTTTGAATGTATGCCATGTTTTTGGTGGCGCAACAGAAATGTAAATCTTTCAACCACTTTTTACAATAGAAAAAGTGTTAGTTTCCCGTCACTCTAAGTTTGGTTTTCTTGTGAAACGGCTATTTCTGCTCATACTGGCAGAATAAATTATGGAAAAATGTTTAACTTTTTAATCGCTTTTGGAGCAATTTTAGAAATACGATTTTAAAAAAAGACAGAATTTAACAGTCGCTTTCAGAACACATTAATAAATATCCTTTATCATGTCTACACACAAAGAGAAATGCACATGGTATACACACAAAGAGAAACGCGCATTGGAATTCACACAAAGAGAAACGCGCATGGTATTCACACAAAGAGAAACGCGCATGGTATTCACACAAAGAGAAACGCACATGGTATTCACACAAAGAGAAACGTATATCTTATATACACAAATAGACACTATATGGTACTCACACAAAGAGAAATGCACATGGTATGCACACACAAAGAGAAATGCACATGTTGTATACACAAAAAGAAACGTACATGGTATACACACAATGAGAAATGCACATGTTGTATACACAAAAAGAAACGTACATGGTATAAACACAATGAGAAATGCACATGATAGTCACACAAAGAGAAACGCATGGTATTCGCACAAAAATAAACGTACATCTTATATACATAAAGAGACACTACATGGTACTCACACAAAGAGAAATGCAAATGGTATTCAAAGAGAAACACACATGGTATACACACACACAAGAAAAACGCACATGGTATTCACACAAAGTGTAACGCACATGGTATTCACACAAAGTGTAACGCACATGGTATTCACACAAAGTGTAACGCACATGGTATTCACACAAAGTGGAGAGTGGGGGGGGGGGAGAGACAGAAGCTGGTGGGGAGGGAGGAGGGTTCAGGCCGAATAGTTTGAATTCCCCACCAATAAGCCCTTAGGTTTCCTTGTTAAAAAAACGCTAGCATTTCCAGTGAAATAATGCACTAGCAAAATTTGTCACCCCTGAGAAAACTAAACTAAAGATCCAGTTAAATTAAATTCAAATCTGAAAATACAAACAGACGCAGACAGACTAAAGCCACTAATATCAGGTGCAGCACAGGTATTGGGGGTAAAGGCCTAATCTAGACTGAGTAACAATGTAGGTGTCTGTGTAGTGTGAGCAGAGTGCCCCCTCTCCCGAATCAGCTGTATGAAGAAATGTTAGTAAAGACAAATCGGAAATCCTGCAATGGGTGTTGCGGAGGGGCTCCAGGGGACCACATACCTGCAGTGCCTCGGTGTCCAATTCTTGCCTGGTTATCTCAAGGTGAGTCAGCTGCATTAACTCAGTCTCTATTAATATAATCTAGGCAGAAGATGAGACAGGAGGGTTTGGATCAATTCCCGCTTACTTACTGACGCTCCGGTGGATGGCACCGAGGGGCTTCTTACTACTCATTTTATTCAATGTATAGTTAAAACATATCAATGCATAAGTACGCGCCTGCTTTATTTACACAGAGAGATGTGGAGTAACACAGGGACACAATGCGGGCGCAGGTTATTAGCGTCGGTTCGAGGATGGTCACAATCCAAAGCAAATTGAAAGCTGGAAAATGGGACTTTGCAAGGAAGTGCTGGCAAACACATTAAATCCTGAACAAAGGCTACAGTTTGTTGCTTAAATATTAACTTATGAGGGGCTTGGAAAGAAAGAAATCTAAGCAGGGCTCAGGATGCTGTATGCCCCAAATATCCAGCAAACTGCAGCCCATACCCAGCAACTAACAGCGCCTACTTACCATCTACTAACCAGCTACTACCATCTACTAACCAGCTACTCACCATCTACTAACCAGCAACTAACAGCGCCTACTTACCATCTACTAATCAGCTACTCACCATCTACTAACCAGCAACTAACAGCGCCTACTTACCATCTACTAATCAGCTACTCGGCATCTACTAACCAGCAACTAACAGCGCCTACTTACCATCTACTAATCAGCTACTCACCATCTACTAACCAGCAACTAACAGCGCCTACTTACCATCTACTAACCAGCTACTCACCATCTACTAACCAGCAACTAACAGCGCCTACTTACATCTCCTAACCAGCAACTCACTATCTACTAACCAGCAACTAACAGCGCCTACTTACATCTCCTAACCAGCAACTCACTATCTACTAACTAGCAACTAACAGCGCCTACTTACATCTCCTAACCAGCAACTCACTATCTACTAACCAGCAACTAACAGCGCCTACTTACCATCTATTAATCAGCTACTCACCATCTACTAACCAGCAACTAACAGCGCCTACTTACATCTCCTAACCAGCAACTCACTATCTACTAACCAGCAAACTACAGCCCCCACCCTGCAACCTACAGCGCCAATTTACCATCTACTAACCATCTGTATGCCCAAAATATCCAGCAAACTGCAGCCCATACCCAGCAACTAACAGCGCCTACTTACCATCAACTAACAGCGCCTACTTACCATCTACTAATCAGCTACTCACCAAATACTAACCAGCAACTAACAGCGCCTACTTACCATCTACTAATCAGCTACTCACCATCTACTAACCAGCTACTCACCATCTACTAACCAGCAACTAACAGCGCCGACTTACCATCTACTAACCAGCAACTAACAGCGCCTACTTACATCTCCTAACCAGCAACTCACTATCTACTAACCAGCAAACTACAGCCCCCACCCTGCAACCTACAGCGCCTACTTACCATCTACTAACCAGCAACTTACAGCGCCCACTAATCTCGTAATCATCCAATTGCAGCTCCTAGCCAGCAATGTGCATTACTTGGAGGTTCATTTAACAAATAGAATATGTTCATTTATAACAGCGTCCAATAAAGAGACCTACGCTATCATTACGTGCTCTGCTTGAGTCAAGATTTGCTCACTTTTTAATATGACAGAATAAATACAACAATCACTTTTTATTACTCCCTGATTAAGTGATTCACAGTATGTCCACTTCCTGTCTCTCCTGTGAGTGAAGGATTCTGGGAAATTAAATGTCGCTGACCCCATAGACAGTGCCATATTAGCGCGTAGATTTGAGGTGTCCAATCAGTGTGAAGGGTGGCTATACAAGCAGAATTGGAGAATAATTATTTTTAAAGGTTTCAGACTGCTGTGAGGATGTGTAAACATTACCCTCCCAAAAATATTCAAATCCTAACATGTTTACCCGTAGTTTAGGTATAAGCCGGCCCAACGGGTTCATCCTTTCACCACGACTAGTATGTCTCCATTGATGAATGAAAATAGGATGAAAACCAAAATAAATAAAGCCAAACAGCGAAGCCAGGAATTAGGGTAACTGAAAACATGCTGGAGCAGAAGCGGGGAATGTCACGGAAACTGTCCGGCTAGGAATTTATTCTGCGATGCCCAGTATTAGAGGCTAACATGGGTGTGCAGGAAATTAATAGAATATTCTATACCAGCGATGGCCGCAGGGCTAGCTGGGCATCATGGGAAATATAGTTCAGAACCATTGGAGGAGACATTACTGTATAATAAACAGCGTTCTCTAGCCAGGATCTGTGATAACAGGAAATGATTAGTGCTCGAAATGCCGGTCACTGGATATCATACAAAGTTTTTACATGTCTCCATTTTACATTTTGGTTTGAATCGGCACAAATTGGGGAACTGTTATACGGAGTCCCAAAAAATAATAAAATGGTATTAAGTCACCTCCTTCCCTGCACAGTCTCAGAACCGTTTCAGGATTATAATGGGCCACCATTACAATGGAACACTCATGGTGTTTGCCAAATGCAATGTTGACTAAGGTTCATGGGAGTTGAGATTCTATCGAAGCTGGGGGTGTTTTAGCCAACCCTGAAAAAAAGAATGTTTATTTTTTTCCCTTTTCTTTTGATAAGGACGTACGATTACACTCACACTCACCTGCTCTCTTATCTGTCTGTGCATCAGATCTTTTTTAAGCTGCAGAGCCTCAAACGCAGCTTTCTGGATCTCTGACTGAAAGAGAACAGAGGATATTTCAGGATTAAACTCTGTGTTGCACCAAATATTAACTGTAATAGAGGTCTGTAAGGCAGATCCCTTCACCAGAGAGATGAACACAGAGATGTTTGTCTAAATGAGAGGCTCACGGGTGCTCCAATAAATGAGGGGCTCTCAATGGGGTGCTCCCCTAAATGAGAGGCTCACAGAGGTGCTGTACTCAATGAGAGGCTCTCAAGCGGGCTTCCCTACATGAGAGGCTCACAAGGGTATTCCCCTAAATGAGAGTCTCACAGGGGTGCTCCCCTGAAGGAGAAGCTCACAGGGGTGCTCCTCTAATTCAGAGGATCACAGGGGTATTCACCTAAATGAGAGTCTCACAGGGGTGCTCCTCTAAATGAGAGGCTCACCAGGGAGAGCTGCAGGGTTCAGTATTCAGTCTATGGAGAGCTGCTGGGTTCAGTGCTCAGTTTATTTAGAGCTGCATAGTTCAGTATTAAGGTAAATGGACAGCTGCAGAGCTCTGTGACAGTTATATGAAGCTGCTAGGTTGAGCTGTAAGCCCCTATCCCTAAGGAGAACTCATACCTCCTGTAAGATCTGACTGATGGCTTTACTTTGATCCAGTTGTTGCCAGACCTGAATTTGCTGCAGTTTATGATCCATATCTGCCAAGCTGTAAATAAAAGAGAAATTACAAAAAATGAAATGAATAACAACAAGGTCCCCTCCCATCTAACAAAGATATTTCTATTAGCTTACATTTAAAATATTGTATCCCTGACAAGACCCTTTCTAGGAGAGTCAGTCACAATGCTGGACCCAAATCCCTCTGTCCCTCTTTTCTAGGAGCTCCATGTTGTTAGTGTGTCTGAGTGTATCACAGAGCTCCACAGTAATAATACTCCCAGTAATGTGTCTGAGTGTATAACAGAGCTCCACAGTAAAAATACTCCCAGTAATGTGTCTGAGTGTATAACAGAGCTCCACAGCAATAATACTCCCAGGAATGTGTCTGAGTGTATAACAGAGCTCCACAGCAATAATACTCCCAGTAATGTGTCTGAGTGTATAACAGAGCTCCACAGTAATAATACTCACAGTAATGTGTCTGAGTGTATAACAGAGCTCCACAGCAATAATACTCCCAGTAATGTGTCTGAGTGTATAACAGAGCTCCACAGCAATAATACTCCCAGTAATGTGTCTGAGTGTATAACAGAGCTCCACAGCAATAATACTCCCAGTAATGTCTGAGTGTATACCAGAGCTCCACAGCAATAATACTCCCAGTAATGTGTCTGAGTGTATAACAGAGCTCCACAGCAATAATACTCCCAGTAATGTGTCTGAGTGTATAACAGAGCTCCACAGCAATAATACTCCCAGTAATGTGTCTAAGTGTATAACAGAGCTCCACAGCAATAATACTCCCAGTAATGTGTCTGAGTGTATACCAGAGCTCCACAGCAATAATACTCCCAGCAATGTGTCTGAGTGTATAACAGAGCTCCACAGCAATAATACTCCCTGTAATGTGTCTGAGTGTATAACAGAGCTCCACAGCAATAATACTCCCAGTAATGTGTCTGAGTGTATAACAGAGCTCCACAGTAATAATACTCCCAGTAATGTGTCTGAGTGTATAACAGAGCTCCACAGCAATAATACTCCCAGTAATGTGTCTGAAGTATAACAGAGCTCCACAGCAATAATACTCCCAGTAATGTGTCTTTAAACTAAAATAAATTTATTTAGAAATCAGTCACTTAAACGTCCTTAGCTACACACCCCGGTTACACATGCAGTCACACCACTAAAATTGGAGCAGAGGTACCTGGCACGGCCTGTGGCTGCCAATCTGTCACTGGGTGTATATATGCCAGTCTTACATTGGGTATTCTAGATCAACATGTCCATCTGTTGCTTTGTGAATTCTAGCAAATCTCACTGCCCGTAGTTAAACTCTGCCAGAACTATCTGTAATTCCCACTGGATATCAAGTGTCTTCACCTGGAGCATGCCTGGCTAACCATCTCCTGGCGACGGGACTCATAAGCCATTTGGAGAAGGCGGCTTTTATAGCTCTCCGAGAGCATCTGCTGCATGGCGGCTGCACAGACAGAAACAGAGAGTCACTCGGATGGGTTCGTGGTTATGGGCACAGAATGGAATGATGTATAAATAGATACAATCTCTAATAATACGACATTACTTGTGACTGAATAATCTGTATACAGAGCACTACATGTGCTTAGACATGAGAATTATAAAAACAAAAAATGACAGGCCCAATCACAAAATGTTATTTATAAGACAACGCACACGTGTATTCCTAAATCCGACTAAACTAGTACAAAGTAATCTAAGAATTTTTTGGTTTTGGCTTAATTTTTGCCCTGATCCCCATTTCTAGCAGTAATTATCATACAGGAGAGCAAATACAAATTGTTTAAGAGATGAAATGAGACAATTCAATAACGAGAAGCATTGGGGAACATTAGGGCGATGGAGATTAGGTTTCATCACATCGGAATGCCCACAATCCTATGCTAAGTATCTAGAAGTTAAAGGTATAACTGGTTTCTGGATTAAGTCTACATACACGCTACTTCCTTTCGACGCAGATTGTCCGCCTCTTCTTGTGTGATTGCCATGAGCTGCTCCATTCTTATCCTGCAAGGTGGCACAATAAACATTCATTAAGCGAGGCTTCACACAATGCTTACATCACGCTACAAGGCTACGTTTCTTGACTGTGGTTGCTTTTACTGATCAAAGCATGGTGATCGCCATTTATAAGGTGACAGAAAGAGGTTTCATAGAACATTTCCCGGGACAAGTTCAAATCCCGCCACGGCGAGTCAAAAACTCGGGTTGGGACTGAACCAAGAGAACAGACAGAAACCAAGACTGATAGCACTACTGCCTTAATGACCAGCGGGGTGTTAATGAATAAATGAAGATTATGTTATTAAGGCATAGAATGTCTTGTGTTTATTTAGAGTTAAAAAAAAGTAACAACACTTACCGCTCGTCATCCAAAGATTTCAAAATGGCGGCACTTTGCTTCTGTCTGAAAAGTAGAAATAACAGTATTTAATATCAAAAAATTAATAATAACATATCATATGGGGTGCTCTGTATAACAAGACTCAATACAAGCGTAACAAACAGGAGCTAGACTAGGTTTAATCAATTAAAATTTCTATGAGTTTCTGCTAAACTATCGTAGGACAATTATTTATCAACTGCTCAGTTTTATCAGAAAATGATATATTCAACATTTACAGTAATTTGGTTGCACTTGTTATCAGCTAAATAATGCTAAATATTATACCCAATTGAATTATCCCAGACAGGTTTCTGTTAATCCAATTAATGATGCAACGGGTAGGAATAAAAAAAGCTGCAACCTCCTCAGCCGTGCTGGACGCAGCGTCAAAAATTAAACTAAGAGAAAATGGATTGTGTCTGGCTGAATTCAACGATGGGTGGAGGGTCACCGGGATCACCACATGAAACTACTCTTACCTCTGGTTTTCTTCCAGCAGATTTGAGATGCGGAAGGAGATTCTCTTCTCCATCTGTTTAAGCTGCTCCTGTAGCTCCTGTCGGTCGTTGTGGAGCTGCTTTTGGTGTTGGGTCAGTCCTTTATCGAGCCGTGATTGCTCCTGAGACAAGAGGCACCAAACCATCAGCTCTGTCTGTCTGTAACTCGTCCTGTCTATATGCACTCACTGTGATACAACGTAACAGTCAATGGACCCTCATTGCTCCCATAACCTTGAGGCAGCCAGCTTTTCAGAAATCCCATAAATATAAAGTAATGGATCCAGGCTCTCCAAGAGGGTGTAAATCACAAACATTAATTTGAAATGTGGTACGCAGATAACATTTCAGCCACGCAATGTGGCCTTTGAAACACCTAAGACTAAATAATTCATTTTAATAGAATAGGTGTAGATGTGTGGAATAGCCATCCCGCTAAAATTCAAGGTTTCTGCGTTCTATATTTTAAACAACTTGTTCTGATAATGTGACATCATAGAATTTCGCATTATGTTGGGTATTCATTATGTTCTAATTTGTAGAATTAGCCAGACTGTGTTGGGTCCAAGGGATCTAGTAATCAGCCAGGGAGAGGATTTAAACGCAGTAATTTGGACCTTCTGAGTGGTTCAATATGGACATTACTATTGATCACAATACCTGTACCATCTGTTGAACGACTGTGGTGACCATTAGGATGTGTTTATTTTGAGGTTTGGAAGATTTTAAACGACTCACCTGTCTCACGGATTGCAGGATCTGGTCTTTCTGCGTGTTGTTCTGTTGGACAAGCTGTGCATATTCTCTCTGCCCCAGGTCCAAACGACGTTCAAATTCCAGTTTTTCCAGCATTTTCTGTTCCTACAAAAGCAAATAAAGCATATAATATAGTAATATAATATATATATAATCCCAGGTGGGGGAGGTTAGAGGCCTGGATGGGAAGGGCATGGGCACCCAGATGGCGGAGGGTGAAAGTGCCCAAGTCTCTCCCCAAATACCTCCTTTTCCCTGATGGACCCACCTTTCTCCTTTCGTATTCTGAAAATTTGTTCTGAAATAAGAAATCAGAAAAAAGTTTGTTACAGAAAACTGCAGATTTACACCAGAAATAAATAATACCCTCCTGGTTCGGAAACAATATAATTATTGAAGTACAAAATTAGAAGAAAAAAAAAGCATGAGACCGTAAAATTTGATCAGAAATCTTATAAATCACCCAAAATGGAGGGTTCACTCATTCTGTCTATTCTTGCTTCCAGTTAAAAGAATGGTGACATCTGAGCATATATGTATCAGTTCGTACACCCCTTACTACATGAGATATCCTACAACCATCCGTCTTCCACTTAACATCAATTCACACACGAGCAGGGCCTGCGCTACCATTAAGGTGAATAAGGCATTCGCCTGGGGCGACGGCCTTTGGGGGGCGCCCACCGGGATGTCTCCTGGTGGGCTGCCCTGCTGCTGTCTGGGGATGCTGTGCTGGGTGAGCAGCTCCTTAGCCACCCCCCAGTGCAGCCATTCACCTGCATGGCGCCTCTCTGCCGCTTGCCTGCTCGGGCAAAGCACCAGAGCAGAGCACTGCTTCCTGCAGGCAGGGGGAAGCCGGGATGTGACTTAGTATGGGTTTGTAACCCCTTTTGCACCACGAGGGGGGAGGTGCACTTGACGGAGGGGGAAGCTACAGTGCCAGGAAAATAATTTTGTTTTCCTAGCACTATGGTTACCCTTTAATGTCTCCTCAGTGCTTCTCTTTCCCTAAATGTCTCTTCAATGCAATTCAGAGTTTAGTGAATAAACTCTGAGGGAAAGTAGTTGCATTCATGAGGGGGTGGCAAAATGGATTGTTGCCTAGGGCGGCAAGAATCCTTGCACCGGCCGTGCACATGAGACCATAGCCCTCCTGCCGCGTCACTCATGGAATTGTTACTGCTCGTCCTGTTACACAGACACAATACACACAGTTTACCTGCCACTCCACCTCCTCCGCTTGGAATGCTACAGGTGCCCCGTCCACGGAGTCCCCTTCTCCCGCACTGTTTTCCAGGACGGAGAGCAGATACTGCGAGGGTGCACAGTATTCAACGCCGACCTCTAGCGAAAGAATAGAAACAAAACACAAACTGGAGGAACTTGTCAGACCCAAAACACAGCAATTTATAAACAGATAAATGAAACATGGCAGCACCGTGTATTATGCAGACATGCGGTTATCTCCCCACGATTCCTAGTTTAGTGAATACGTTCCAATTGCTATTGTACACTGTGAAGAAATGACTCCGATCATCAGGATTTCTACCTTGTTGCACAAGTTAATTCACCCAATTCAGCTGGAATTCGGCATATAGCTATAATTTCTACCCTTCGGATGGATTCAGGCGAATTCCCCGTGTAAACTCTAGGTGGCCGCCATTTCGGCACTTTACACGTGGTCGCGGCCATTTTACGTGCGAACAGCGGTGTTTGCCCGTCAAACGCGTGGAACTAAAATCGGATACGCAAACAGGCGAACACCGCTGAGACCTCCATACATCCAGAACTTCGCACGGAAAAAACCGAATCACCGGCCGTTCGGTAGTTACATGCAACTTCGTATGGGGATTTCAACGACCACGAAGATGCGAACGGATGGCAGGACTTTCGTCTCTTTTATTCGCCTAAACGGAGACCGACCGCAGGGCCAAAACTTATGGAACTATTTTCGGCTAGATGATCCGTGCGGTCGGTCAAAACTTTAGTGCTCCATAACTCCCGAACCATTCATCCGAATGGACTGATTTTTTGACATATTGTCCCCACAAGTGAGAACTATCCAGCGGTGCCCAATTTAAAGGTGTACCCCCTGTTTTTGGGGTACATCCAGAACTGGGGTAAAATAGTGCACGTTTTAATGAAGTTAACTGTTTATCAGAGGGGAGGGAGGTAGGGGCTGTAACCTGTACCTGATTGGTGATTTAATGCCTCCCCCTGGGTGTGTATTTTTTGTCTGTAACCCTAATAAAAAGCAGGCTGGAGATTCCAGACCTCAGATCTACTTGTATCCTGATTCTGGACTCTGACTGTTATTTGGGAATTCGTATGCTTTACCAAGGGGATTATCTTGGGAAGCTGTTATATTTCTTATGGACTTCATTGCTTGGATCTACCCTAGACGCTGGCATTGCAGGAGGAATTATCAAAGCGGTTCAGCTATACTTGATTTCCTTACAACTGGTGGCAAGCGGAGGGATTCGAATCCCAAATGGACATTTCAAAACAAGCAAAGGAATGAATGGCTCAGCAGTACCAGCTACTTAAAAGAACCACGCTAAAGGACTTACTGGAAGCTCGAGGCAGAGTGGCAAGTAACAAAACAAAAGCCACGATAATTGCGGAGTTAATGCAGAGCGATAATACCAGTAATATAGAGATGGACCAAGAGGAAGAAACCGTGATGCAAAAGGACATCCGATGGACACTCAGTTTATTGGGACCCAATCCATCCTCAGAGGCGATACTGCAGGTCGTAGCACAAGCCAGACAAGCGCAAAAAGAGCGAGATGACCGGGACAGAGCGTCACAGGGGGATTTGCTACACCCCCCGAGAAGTATTGGGGAAATACCAAAGAAGGTAAATTATGCAGCGTTTAAATCATTTGTTGACAATGAAATGGAAATTGACAGTTACTTGCAAGACTTTGAACGCCAGTGTGCACTGGAGGGATTAGACTCCACCAAATGGGCTGCAGTCGTCAGCAGTAAATTGTCAGGTAGAGCAGCCGAGGCGCTGCGAGCAGTACCTGAGGGGGACATACATAATTATGAGAAAATAAAAGACATTTTGTTGGCCAGATATGCGGTAACTCCGGAGGCATACCGGAAAAAGTTTAGAGACCTGAGAAAGACTGGGAGAGATTCCCATACGGAATGGGCTTTTCGCCTGCAGCGGGCAGCCCGCAATTGGATGAAGGGCTGCCAGGCAACCACCCTAGAAGAAGCTTTGCAACTAGTGATACTGGAGCAATTTTTTAATCATACTGCAGAGGACATAAAAGACTGGGTAAAAGATAGGAAACCAAAAACCGTGGAGGAGGCCGCTAGGCTAGCGGACGAGTACCAGGATAGCAGGAGGAAGGAGCCAGGGGCGAGCAGACCACCATTTAAGCCTCAGTACACAGCTCCAACAAACCCGGCTCCACCTAGACCTGCCATAGGTAACCCCCCACCGAACCCAGCAAACACACCTCGACCTCCTGCAGTGTGTCACTACTGCAAGCAACCAGGACATTACAAGCATCAGTGCCCTCGCTTAAACCGGGGAAGCTGGGAACGGCCAGCCCCACAACAACCCAGGGCAGCTGCTCACTGTGTGCAACAGGAACACACAGGCCCTGCCCTTAACCACGAAGAACAGTGGAGCGTATTACATGAGGTCAATCCAGTACAAGCTGGGGGGGACAACCGGGACCACCACCGCCAATGGATTACCGTCGATGGCGTGGGGGCCCGGGCGCTGAGAGACTCTGGGGCTACTTTGACTGTGGTACAGCCCCACACGGTCAGAGCACAAGCTCGCACCGGACGCACAGTCGCTGTAAGGGTGGCTGGGGGCGCTATTCACAAACTGCCCACCGCTAATATGTTTGTTGATTGGGGTTCCGGGTCTAAACAACTGGAGGTGGGGATTATGCAAGAACTGCCCGCCGAGGTTTTGTTGGGAAATGATGTGGGATGCCTAACCTCCCAACTAGCCCGAGACCCCCCTGCCGAGGCCTACCCGGTTACCACCCGAGCTCAAGCCAGACTGGAAGCTCCGCTGCACTCTGAGGAGAACCAGGTAAGAGTCGAAATACCCCCTTTACCCGATCCCCCCGTACCCTTCTGGGATACCCCCCAGGGGTTTGAACAGGAACAGCGTACTGACCCCACATTAGAAGGCTATAGGAAGGCCGCGGCCGCTACCCCCGAGAACAACCCGCACGAAAAATTTGAGTGGTATAAGGGGTTGCTATATAGGGTAACCGAGGGGGTGGGACAGGGGGCTACCCAGGTCATAAAAAGACAGTTAGTTGTGCCCCGTAAATTTCGGGCTGAGTTGTTAAAACTCAGTCATGACATTCCCCTAGCAGGACATTTAGGGGTCAAAAAGACCAGAGACAGGTTAACTCAAACCTTCTTCTGGCCCAGAGCTACCCAGGACCTAAAGTACTATTGTAGGACATGTGATGTATGCCAAAGGGTAGGGAAAAGGGGAGACCTTCGGAAGGCTAAGCTTCACCCCCTACCCATCATCGAACAGCCCTTCCACCGAGTAGCGGTGGATTTAATAGGTCCCCTCAGTCGCCCCAGTCCGTCGGGCAAAAAGTTTATCCTAACGGTGGTTGACTACGCCACTAGATACCCGGAGGCAGTCGCCCTCACCAATATAGAGGCCGAGACCGTGGCAGAGGCCCTTATTCAGATATTCACCCGAGTAGGTTTCCCGCAGGAGATACTCTCCGATCGGGGGACGCAGTTCACAGCTACCCTGACGCAACAACTGTGGCAGAGCTGTGGAGTGCAACCCCTGTTCAGCGCCCCGTATCATCCCCAGACTAACGGGCTCTGTGAACGTTTCAATGGCACTCTAAAACAGATGCTAAAAACTTTTACAGAGTCCCACAAGAATTGGGAAAAATTCCTTCCCCACCTTCTGTTTGCCTACCGTGAGGTGCCCCAGGCCTCCACTGGGTTTTCCCCCTTCGAACTCCTGTACGGGAGAAAAGTTCGGGGCCCACTGGAGCTCGTACGGGAACACTGGGAGGGCAATACAGATGAGGGGGGAGTCCCTATCGTCCAGTATGTCCTGGAGTTCCGGGACCGTCTGCGGGCCCTCACCGAATCGGTTCGGGAGAACCTGCAGGCGGCCCAGGAGGACCAGAAAAAGTGGTACGATAGGAGGGCCCAGGATAGAGTGCTGGACTTAGGGCAGAAGGTACTGGCTCTGAGGCCCGTTAAAAAGGACAAGCTGCAAGCAGCCTGGCAGGGACCCTTTAAGGTAGTGGAACAGGTTAGCGAGACTACCTACATCGTGAGCAAATGCTCAGATGAAAGGCTGACCAAAGCCTTCCATGTGAACATGCTCAAACCATATTTTGAAAGGACAGAGGAGGTGGGCGCCGTGTGCGCCCCCGCCACAGAGGATAGTGAAGGGCTTCCCCTGCCTGACTTACTGGAGACCACCCCCTGTACTATTGACCAAGTAAGCTTGGGGCAAAATTTAGACCTCCTGGAGAAAGGTGAGGCTACCCATCTGCTGCAGGGATACCGAGAGATGTTTTCCGCTACCCCCGGCTATACCTCCGCTGCGGTACACCGTGTGGAAACCCAGGGAGAGACGCCCCTACGGCAACAGCCATATCGGATCCCGGAAGCAGTACGTGAGAGTATGCTCACCGAGTTAAGGGATATGTTACGGCTAGGGGTAATAGAACCCTCCCAAAGTCCTTGGGCCTCCCCGGTGGTACTAGTACCGAAGCGCGACGGCACTACGCGCTTCTGTGTAGATTACCGGAGGCTTAACGACCGTACCATAACCGATGCCTACCCCATGCCTAGAATAGATGAGCTCTTAGATCGTATGGCGGGGGGGAACTACTTGACTACCCTGGACCTGTGCAAGGGTTATTGGCAGATCCCCCTGGAGCCTGCGGCCATCCCCAAGTCGGCGTTCGTCACCCCGTTTGGGCTATACCAATTCAAGGTTATGCCCTTTGGGATGAAGAACGCCCCGGCTACGTTTCAGCGGATGGCGGATAGGCTCCTGGAGGGGTTGCAGGACTTCGCATGTGCGTATCTAGATGATATTGCCATCTATAGCCGCACATGGGGAGACCATCTGGGTCATGTGTCCAGGGTACTCGAACGAATCCACCTCGCCGGGCTCACTTTGAAACCCGACAAGTGTCACGTAGGCCTAGCCGAGGTCCAGTATCTAGGCCACCGTGTCGGCTCCGGTAGACAACGCCCAGAGCCCGCTAAGGTAGAAGCCATAGCTAACTGGCCCCAACCTCGGACCAAAACCCAGGTACTGGCTTTCTTAGGGACGGCCGGGTATTATAGGAAGTTCGTCCCAGAATATAGCGCCCTGGCCAAGCCCCTCACGGACCTTACCAAAAAGGCCCTTCCCAAACAGGTCTCCTGGACCCCAGAGTGCACGGACGCTTTCCAGAAGCTCAAAACGGCCTTGAGTGAGGCCCCTGTGTTGGCAGCACCCGATTACACTAAACAATTTCTCGTCCACACAGATGCCTCCATGTTTGGGCTGGGAGCCGTGCTAAGCCAGGTGGGGGCGGATGGCATGGAACACCCGGTGGCATACCTCAGCCGTAAACTTTTGCCCCGAGAAGTCAGCTATGCCACCGTAGAAAAAGAGTGCTTGGCCCTCGTGTGGGCCCTCAAGAAACTTCAGCCCTATCTGTATGGGCGAGCGTTTACCCTTATGACCGACCACAACCCCCTGGTATGGCTCAACCGGGTAGCTGGTGACAACCCCAGGCTACTCCGGTGGAGCCTAGCTCTCCAACCATACAATTTTACCATGCAGTACCGTCCGGGTAAACAAAATGGGAATGCGGATGGACTGTCCCGCCAGACCGAACTGGACACCTAAAAACATACTTTCATCGGACATCCCCAAGCCAACCCGACAGGGTCTAGGCGGGTATGCCGACCTATGGACTTATAGGGGAGCAGTGTGAAGAAATGACTCCGATCATCAGGATTTCTACCTTGTTGCACAAGTTAATTCACCCAATTCAGCTGGAATTCGGCATATAGCTATAATTTCTACCCTTCGGATGGATTCAGGCGAATTCCCCGTGTAAACTCTAGGTGGCCGCCATTTTGGCACTTTACACGTGGTCGCGGCCATTTTACGTGCGAACAGCGGTGTTTGCCCGTCAAACGCGTGGAACTAAAATCGGATACGCAAACAGGCGAACACCGCTGAGACCTCCATACATCCAGAACTTCGCACGGAAAAAACCGAATCACCGGCCGTTCGGTAGTTACATGCAACTTCGTATGGGGATTTCAACGACCACGAAGATGCGAACGGATGGCAGGACTTTCGTCTTTTTTATTCGCCTAAACGGAGACCGACCGCAGGGCCAAAACTTATGGAACTATTTTCGGCTAGATGATCCGTGCGGTCGGTCAAAACTTTAGTGCTCCATAACTCCCGAACCATTCATCCGAATGGACTGATTTTTTGACATATTGTCCCCACAAGTGAGCACTATCCAGCGGTGCCCAATTTAAAGGTGTACCCCCTGTTTTTGGGGTACATCCAGAACTGGGGTAAAATAGTGCACGTTTTAATGAAGTTAACTGTTTATCAGAGGGGAAGGAGGTAGGGGCTGTAACCTGTACCTGATTGGTGATTTAATGCCTCCCCCTGGGTGTGTATTTTTTGTCTGTAACCCTAATAAAAAGCAGGCTGGAGATTCCAGACCTGAGATCTACTTGTATCCTGATTCTGGACTCTGACTGTTATTTGGGAATTCGTATGCTTTACCAAGGGGATTATCTTGGGAAGCTGTTATATTTCTTATGGACTTCATTGCTTGGATCTACCCTAGACGCTGGCATTGCAGGAGGAATTATCAAAGCGGTTCAGCTATACTTGATTTCCTTACATACACAACGTGCACCATGCCGTCCTTACAATTTTGATGTCAGATTGAATATAAACAGATCTGAGATATATCTCACATTTACCGCCACAAACTGCCAGGTTTATCTTTAATCCAAGCAGGCGGCAGTTAGAGATATATCACTGTTTTTATTTATGGAGTGATGTCAGAGTTATTTACTAAAGTGAGAATTCAACGTGAAGTCCAAATTTAAGGCCTTCGAAGCCAAACTGAAACTATAGCGGACTTTTCCACGTCGGCTACTCTGGCCTTAAATTGGAGATTCACTTTGAGTTCTCTCTTTAGTGAATACGCTGTGTATGTTGATAGGAGGGATGTCGGAGAGGACGACGAGGCACAGGTTGGAATTGATCTGGTTTTACCTTTGCACAAAAACTGCTGTATAGCTTCTGTTCCTTCCACGCAGACAGAGCGCGGGGGATAGACCATGCCGGCTGTGTCCAGAGACAGCATCTACCAAGCGGGATCAGACACAGAAACATTACAGATACAACGGATATTAAAAAATCTGCAGACGGACATTCTACAGTCGCCATGACGACCTTTAGCCGCTGGACACACAAAGAGAACAGATAATCAGACGTGACACTTCCCCCGGGACACCTAAGCTGCAAACTATGCCCCGTCGTAAAGCATGATGGGAGTTGCAATTAGGGATCGACCGATTATCGGTTTTACCGATATTATCGGCCAATATTCGGTATTTTCGGCAAGATCGGTATCAGCCAATAAAGATATCGATATTGCCGATAATACATCCCAGGACCACCGGGCCCATTACAATCCCGGCGGTCCTGGGGGGCCAAACACACTTTTACTTACCTTCCCAGCAGCTCCCCTGGGTAAATCTCACGAGTCCCGCGGCCGTCAGAGCGTTGCCACGGGTTACCGTTGCCGCGAGATTTACACAGGGGAGCTTAAGGGAGCTGCTGGTAAGTAAGAGCTACCTGCGGGCCCCCTCTGTACTTTCCATGCCACTGGACCACCAGGGAATGTACAAAGAAAATTCTTCATGAAAGGATATGGTACAAAGACATGGCGAACACACACTGCATCCACTACACACACACACACACACTACACAAACACACACTGCATCCACTACACACACACACACACTACACAAACACACACTGCATCCACTACACACACACACACTACACAAACACACACTGCATCCACTACACACACACACACTACACAAACACACACTACACAAACACACACTGCATCCACTACACACACTGCATCCACTACACACACACACACACTACACAAACACACATAGCTCCCTTGTCTAAACACACTGCATCCACTACACACACACACTACACAAACACACATAGCTCCCCTGTCTAAACACACTGCATCCACTACACACACACACTACACAAACACACATAGCTCCACTGTCTAAACACACTGCATCCACTACACACACACACTACACAAACACACATAGCTCCACTGTCTAAACACACTGCATCCACTACACACACACACACTACACAAACACACACAGCTCCCCTGTCTAAACACACTGCATCCACTACACACACACACACTACACAAACACACATAGCTCCCCTGTCTAAACACACTACATCCACTACATGTGGCATGTATATTCTGCGCATTTACCTTTAGAAATAGTTTATTTTTTCAAAATGGTAAATGTACAGAATATCGGCAAGTTATCGGCTATCGGCCTGAAAGTTCACAGATTATCGGTATCGGCTCTAAAAAATCAATATCGGTCGATCCCTAGTTGCAATCCTTTGTCTGAAAACGATTTCTGATAAAATGTCTAGCTATGGAGTGTTGCTAGGTTAAAGCAGAATTACCCGACACTGAATAAGAGGACCCTAAATATAAAATAAAATAAAAATATGTGAGGACACATTCCACTCGGCGATTTCTTTTAACTCATTCTGATTGTCTGAGAGATTTCTTTTAACTCATTATGATTGTCTCAGTGTTATATCGGTTATAGATAATTTATTTTTGGTTTGTCAGAATCTCAGAGTAGAGAGGAATACTTTACCTCGAGAGTTCGGACATGGGCAAGCTCTTGAGGAAGTTCCTGCAGTCTGTTTTCCGTGACATCGAGCGTCCGCAGACTGCGCAGCCCACCCACCGTATGAGGAAGGACTTTCAGCTTGTTCCCTGGATAAGGAAAGATAATGAGCTCATACAGAGACAGCAGGAGGTAGAAGCAGTGTTTGTCTGGGAGAACAGGAGTTTGTCCTCAGACAGATCATCTGTACAAAGTGCAAGAGATTATGGTGGAACTAAAACATGGTATAAACTATAGAAAACGTGAAAAGCACTCATAAACAGCAAAGCTATCATTTCATTAAGCTCAGTTTAAAAGTCTGTTAAGGATACCTTTACCAAAATCCAAACTGATCGCACTGAATATACCTTTCACATTGAGGGTCTGAAGCTGCACCAAGTCTCCAATTGAGTCGGGAAGAGACCGAAGGAGATTTCGTTCAACATTTAACACCTGTTGGGAACAGAGAATTATTACACTCTCCTCCTGGTGGGTATACATTGATCCCCATCTGTATACACATACCATAGATACATACACACACACACACACACACAGGATCTGCTATAGAGTGGAGCATGGGATGTGAGAATCACCTGTGAAGTTCTCCAACCCACCCCTCTCAATATCTCACCCTCAGTAAATATCTTCTGTTATTGTCTGTAACTGAGTCTCTGTATATGGTACAACTAAAAAAATATAATAACATTTTATTGGGGATTCAATAAATGGCCAGTTTTACAGAATTTTGTTACAACACGATTTGATATAGAATGACTTTTATATATTTAATCACTTAGTTCATCAATTGCTTTCCCCATAGAACAATATGACTATTACATCACCCCAGGGATGCATGTCCCAGTGCCTCCCATATTTACCCGTAATGATGTCAGGGAACCAACATCAACAGGAAGTGATGTCATTTTATTGTCATGCAGATCAAGGACCTAAAATAAAGAGAAAAAAAAAATCTATATACACATAAATAGAACTTGCTTATTTGCAAATCAGTGCCTTTTTAAATAATTTAAAAATAATTATTTATTTAGGACAGGATTTCCAGTCCTCTAAAATGGTATTTGGGAAACTGCATGTCCAAGAAACTCCACAGTTTATATAAAAAAAGATAAAAAACTTTTTCCTCAGCACGGTATTGGCATAAACACATTTTCACTTTGTTTACACGTTACCTAGCAACCACGCAAATACGTACGCACGCACGACACGGTGATCACGTGTCCCGTCTGGGCACTTCCGGGTTCGGAGGGATAGAGCTGCATGCACACTGGATTGGTAAGTGGCTTTCACATTATTTCTTATTTAAATTTTAGATTTACACTGTATGATGGATCTTGAAAAAGAGTGGTCGCAACGTCGATCGGGACATAATACTTTGGATGAAATAATTTACTAATAAAGAATCACTTGGAATAAGAACCTTTGAGTGCACCTCTCAACTTATTGGATATATATATGGAAGGAAGGAGGTCGTGCCTGATGAGTGTCAAGGCCACAGTCCTGGGTGAAACACAGAGCATCCACAAGTACATCACGAAGATGGCTCCCAAAGATGAACTGCTAAGGGAATGCCTGAGACTTCCACAGATCGAGGATGGAGAAAAAGGAGGAGGTTCCTTGGCAAGACAAACTTCTCCATTGGGTGTACCACTGGCAGATAGTGGATGTGGCTCACATGACAAAATCCTACAGTGGTTGGAAAAGGAAGGACTGAAAGACAGCACTGAGGCACTAATCCTAGCAGCACAGGAACAGGCACTCAGCACCAGATCAATAGATGCTGGAGTCTACCACACCACGCAAGACCCAAGGTGCAGACTGTGCAGAGGACTCAGAGACAATCCAGCACACAGTAACCGAGTGCAAGATGTTAGCAGGAACAGCATACACAGAGAGACACAACCAAGTTTCTGGAATTGTGTACTGAAATATCTACACAGAATATGGATTGGACCTGCCTAAGTCCAGATGGGAGATACCACAAAGGATAGTTGAGAATGACAGGGCTAAGATCCTGTGGGACTTCAACATCCAGACAGACAAGCAAGTGCTGGCCAACCAACCCAATATCGTGGTGGCAGACAAGGAACGAAAGACTGCAGTCGTGGTGGATGTGGCAATAATCAGTGACTATAACATCATGAAGAAGGAACATCCCAGTTTGGATTACAAGCACGAACAAGTCTCACGCACTTCCCTGGACCCCCACCACCATGGGCCACTATAATGACTCATCTTACCCCGGAGGCCAAGATTCCTACACACACTCTCTGCAAAGGATCATTTTAGCATCCCCAACGATACAACAGACGGACCAGCTCTCCCACTCCGTAACAGAACCAGAGATCCCACCAAACTCCACTTTAGCATCGTACTGCCTCTGATACGAATCCAGGACTTAACCTTAACCGCGGTACGGACTCCTACACACGACCCCACAAACTTTGGGTACTCTGCATACTGAACGGCAATGACATGCCGGTGGGAAGTCCAGTAGAAGACCTTCGGACGGGTATCATTCTTACTCTTCAGTTGGTTTACAATGTTTGAGCACATCTTGTCTCCTCTAACCTCTTCCCCCCCACCCTTCCCACCTTCATGCACCCCTTCCCCTCTCACCCCTCTCTATTTCCTCCCCCCACCCTTCAACCCTTCCCGAGGCTTGACAGGCTCCTAGTATGCTTCTGGGTAGAGTTGAACCGAATTGCGTAATGTCTGAAGGAACTATGATGACTGTTTTATGAGTATGTTCCAAATGTTTTCTGTGCTGATATCCTAACCATAATACTGTGCTGTAAGTCTTAAGTCCTTGCAGAGTTGGAAGATGGTATTCGCGCACTAACTATGGCCCAGGTACCGGACCGGCCCTAACGAGCCACTCCGACCCTAGCCATTGAGCGCCCCAACGCCCACACCTGTTGCGACCGGTACACACCGAATGGTCCCATAAACTATGCACACCTCCAAGCCCGATTTACCAATCCAAATCACCATCTAGCACCATGGATTGCCCGTCTCTCCCTATGGAAAGACGTACCGTTACATCACCAAACCCCCCCCACACCGAACTAATTCGGTTACTCTAAAACTAAGTGGAGAGTCACCTAAAGCCTAAGCGGTGCCAACTCAACTTCCCCTGGACTTAATAGCCACCAAAGGGAAAGCCACCGTCAACCAAGGCTGACTGACTCCACATTCCATAACACCCCAACTTCCAGCTCTACAAGTGTAAGAGCCGCTTTGTATATAGTTTCTTTCACTGTTATATTGTTAATACTGTTTTTACTTCGTTTTGATTGCCACATACCCACTCAAGACCACCACAACATGACACCCCCCCCTGCAGTCAACATGGCCAGCCTTACAATAGTCACCCTCAACGTCAGGGGCCTCAATTCCCCCATGAAAAGAGCGCTGACCCTCCGAGAGCTACGCAACCTAAAAGCAGACATAGCTTTCCTCCAAGAAACCCACCTTAAAATGGGCTCAACCATCACAGTTCGTAACCGCCATTACCCTACAGGATACTATGGGTGCTACAAAGAGGCCAAGACCAGAGGAGTAGCCATCCTTATAGGTTCACACGTACCCTACACTCACATAAGTCACTATGCGGACCCTAATGGCAGGCTCCTCATAGTGAAAGGTAAGATAGGCAACACTGTGGTGACATTTGCCAACATGTATCTACCTAACGCCAAACAAGGCACGCACCGTTAGAAATACATTACCAAAACTGAAAAACACATGGAAGGTATCCTGATAATGGGAGGGGATCTAAACATGTCCCTGGATTCGAACCTAGACACCACATCCATGTCCACATCGTACAACGCTCACACTAGACTCAGGATGACCCAATTACTAGACAAAGCCTGCCTGTTTGACAGCTGGAGGATCACCCACCCACACACCAAGGATTACTCATACTACTCCTCGGTAAAACATACCTATTCTAGACTAGATATGCTCTTTCTCCACCACAGGCACCTACACCTAATCCAGTCCTGCAACTATGGCCCTATCACCTGGTCGGACCATGCACCATTGTCACTGGTTGTTCAGGTCCCCTCATTGACACCCAACCGCAACCAATGGAAACTGAACGACACCCTACTAAACGACCCAACCATCAATACATCACTCACTGACACATTACGGCACTACTTCGAGGAAAATAAGCCCACAGTCTCCCCCCCACCAATCATTTGGGAAGCCCACAAGGCGGTACTAATGGGCCACATTATAGCGCTAGCTTCCAAACTCAAAAAACAGAGAGAAGCGCAGACAGCTGACCTACTAGTGGACATACGCCAATTAGAACAAACCCACAAACAAAACATGTCCCTGGACACATACAAACAACTAGTGGACAAACGCACGACACTGCAAACACTTCTTAACTCCAAGGTTAAACGAACACTGCTACGCACCAAACACACCTACTACACACAAGGAGGAAAATGTGGTAGGTTACTAGCGAGAGCACTCCAACAAACCAACCAACGGACATACATCACCACGATCAAACAAAAAAACGGCACACGCACGCACCTCCTACCAAACATACTTAAGGAATTCCATACATTTTACACAGGTCTGTACAACCTGAGACAAACCCCGCCCTCTGGTGAGGATGTGACCAATTTCCTAGCCACGAGGATCACCCATACTATCCCCCCGAATATCAGACAAACCTTCGACAGCCCCTTGACACCTGAGGAATTCACAGCAGTAGTTAAACGACTCCCCCTAGGGAAAAGCCCAGGACCAGACGGCTTCACAGCCAAATACTATAAAACGTTCGTCAGTGTCCTTAAAACTCCATTCGTAGACGCATTTAACGCCCTCACATCCGGGCATAATCTCCCAACCGAATCCCTAGAAGCCCACATTACCCTCATACACAAACCGGGGAAAGACCCCGAAGAATGTGGGAGCTACCGCCCCATCTCTCTGATTAACGGCGACCTTAAGATATTCACAAAGATCCTAGCCGAACGACTCCAACCACTACTCAAGGGGCTAATCCACCCCGATCAATCCGGTTTTGTGCCTGGTCACGAGGCAAAAAACAACACAACGAAACTGCTTAGCCTCATCTACGCCGCCAAATTGGCGCAATCCCAAAGCCTCATACTTACCATAGATGCCGAAAAGGCATTTGACAGGGTGGACTGGACTATGCTTAAACTGACATTGCAAGCGCTAGGCTTCGGCCCAAACTGGAGTAGGTGGCTCTCAGCCATTTACTCCAAACCAGGAGCACGGATTAGGGTGAATGGCCAACTTTCGGACGTGTTTCAAATAACCAACGGCACGAGGCAAGGATGCCCCCTATCCCCCCTGTTATATATTCTCACAACGGAACCATTCCTGCAGGGAATTAGGGACTGCCCCGATATAACGAGCCTTACAATAGCACGAAGCGAATTCAAGGTCACAGCGTTTGCTGACGACCTTCTGTTCACAATCTCAAACCCGGTGACATCACTGACCCACCTCATGCAACAAATTGACCTATACCACCAAGTCTCCAACTACAAAATCAACGTTAGCAAAAGCGAGATACTCCCCCTTAACATATCCCACAACACCCGATCACTACTCCGCAACGCATACCCATTCCAATGGCCCTCAGATTCGGTCAAATACCTTGGGGTCCACCTCACTACCTCCCTAGACCGCACCTACGACATCAATTTTCCCCCTCTCCTTGCTAAGATTGCGGCAGACCTTAAGGCAGGAACAAGCCACAATTCGGATGGCTTTGCAGGACCCACATCCTCAAAATGAATGTACTCCCCAAATTTCTCTACCTGCTCCAAACCCTCCCCATCAAAATTCCTACCTCATTCTTCGCACAAGCTAAGTGGACATTTAAAACATTCATATGGGCGGACAACCCCCCCAGACTCCGATATGACTGCCTCACCAAAAGCAAACAGAGAGGGGGCCTAGGTCTCCCTGACCTGGAGGCGTACCACAAGGCTATCACACTTACACGAATATACGAATGGGCACACCCCCGTAACGACACACAATGGGTAAGGATTGAAGCCAGCTTCTTCTCAACACCAATACACCTGGCACCATGGCTAGGAAAAAAGCCCAACATAACAACACACAACTCAGAGCTACATCCGACAATCCCTCATACCCTACGAACCTGGCACAACATAAGGAGGGACCAATATATAGCTCCACACCCGTCTCCGCTCTACCCACTCACCGACAATCCAGCCTTCCTGCCAGGCTCTAACCCAATCGCTCTCCAAAGCTTCCCTAAACAGACCCACACACTCACTCTAGGGGATGTCCGCAACGACAAAGGGATCATCCCACTAGAGGACCTCACCCCCAATGCCGAACCCTCTAGCATGCTTAGATTTAGACACGCGCAAATTACACACTTCCTACACTCGGACCCTATACTCCTCCAGGGATACAGAAATCCCACGCTTTTCGAAATACAGTGCTCCCACCACACACTACGTAAGGGACTAATCTCATCCTTCTACAAAACAATCCGCCACAGCCAGGACGAAATCCTGCCAACTTACACCACACACTGGGACAAAGAACTGTCCACACAAATACCGGCTAAAAACTGGCACAAAATCTTCCACAACATTTTCCATACGTCCAAGAGCAATAGCACCCACGAAAGCAACTACAAGAGAGTTGCCAAATGGCACTACACGCCGACTCGCATCAACAGATTCTTCCCTAACACACCTAAAACATGTTGGAGATGCAAACAAGCTGAGGGAACCTCAGGACATATCTGGTGGCTCTGCCCCGTAATCCAGGATTACTGGAGACAGATGGCCAACCTCATACGCACCATCACTGGCGTGAACCTTCCCCACACTCCTGAAACCATGCTATTCCTATCATACCCCCAACCACTAAACAAGCACAATCGCATCTTACTCAACCACCTCCTAACGGCTGCCAACGCTCTAATCCCCACAATGTGGAAACAGACTACAGCCCCAACTATCAGAGCCTGGATCGCCAGGGTTGACTCCATTAGAATAATGGAGGAACTTTCCTACTCCTTCACTCTCAAATATGACGAATACCTCACTACCTGGACCCCTTGGCTCCAATTCCTCCAAGGAAATCAGGGACAAGTTGTCTGACACCACTTCTCCAGCTAGACCTAAACCCCTGTCTTCCCTCGTGCATAGCCAACCTCCCAGGCTGATAGGCCGTACAGACCTCCCAAACTGCTATGCACCTAAACATGCCACCATTCAGTGCCCTCACCCATGCACTATTGCTTTATTCCTGCCACAGGATAACAGCGTGCACCTACACACAATGCCCGATGACCGGCTAGAACATCATCCCACACCCTGCACTCTCTAACATGCATTGTATTCTGGCATACCTTCCGTATTGTACCGCTAGGTTAACAGACGTTAAAGCCGTATGAACCTCATCTACACACACCAAACCCCCCCCCCCTATACAACACAAAAGTGGGAACTTCACTGGTCTCGCCCCGCTATCAATAATGTTGATGTTCTTGTAACTGTAATAGAACCTGTCGTTTTGTTGACTTCATTGTGCTGCTGACCTCATTGTACTGCTTTTACTACCTCAATAAAAAAGTTTAAAAAAAAAGAAGAAGGAACATGAGAAGGTGGACAAATACCAAGGACTGAAAGAAGAGCTAGAAAGGATGTGGAAAGTGAAGGCAGTAGTAGTCCCAGTTGTGATAGGAGCACTCGGGGCTGTGACTCCCAAGTTAGGTATTGGCTTCAACAGATTCCAGGTGGGACATCTGAGATTGCTGTCCAAAAGAGTGCAGTTCTAGGAACAGCTAAGATACTGCGCATAGCCCTCAAACTCCCAGGCCTATGGTACAGGACCTGAGAATGAAGAATAAACATAAATATATATCTATGTGCTATGTAGACACTTTAAGTGGCCCTGGGATGTCGGAAAGGGCAGTACTGTTTGAGGCTGTGAGCTGCCTTCCATGACCTCGACAATGAAAAGGTAGATAACCTAAAATTAAACTCCTTGGAAAAAATAAATAAAACCACGACCCGTCCTCCACTCTCCTAATCTACCTATCCCTCCAACTCCAACCGTGGAGCCCATACCCCTTAGAAAGGTTGCCCGAAGCTACGTACTATGGCTGAAAGCTTAGCCACGAGATAGCTCTCTTATATCCTGTGTTTGACTTCTGCCAAACTTTGGGGCCGTGTCACTCAGCCACTTTGCCACTAGGGTCCTCCTAGCCACTAGTCTTATTCTATTCATTAGTTTATGGGACAAATCTGTTACTTTTTTTTAGAGACAAGTAAAAGAAATCTGAAAGACAGGAAGTCTGTCGCTTCCTCATTGTCTGATGCTCAAGCACTAAATTCCAAATTTCACCTATTTTGACCTAATTAAGTCAAACTTAAAATACAACCGACAGACACTCGGGACTCCAGCGCTTCTAAACAAAATGGCGGCATAGGACGCTCCCACGGATCCCACCGGAATGTGTACATGGAGGAGAAACACAGGTTAATATGTATTTGTAATATGCGTTACCTTCAAGGCAGATAGATCTGAAATTTGGCATGATTTGGGGAGAAGCTGCGTTAGGAAGTTGCTGTGAAGAATCAGGACCTGCAAAAGATTAAAAGCAAAAAATAAATAAATGAAATAAAATGTTTAAATGTATTACTTTCCAGTTTTTAAAAACCGAGAGGTGAAATTTGCTGAGAGTTGTGTTTTTAGACCAGTTTACATGAATGCTGCCCAGTTATGCACACTCTGCTGGGACAAGACACGTCTATGATCATCTTTTAATAACTTCAATATACTACAGTGAGCAGTGTGTCCTGTTCTTTATTACATCAAAAATAATCGGTCAATAAATGTGATAGATCTTAGATCAGACGTTCTTACTGTAGTGATGTTATTATGTCATTTACCGAATCAGATTAATATTTCACTGGGTCAGTAATAACTACCTTTTTCTGTAACACGCGACATGTGGAAAAAATGCCATCCGGAATCTACAAAGAGAAGGGAGGGGTAAACTGTCAACTCTGGCATTTCGTCCGTAAATTAAATAAATTAATGTATTCATATATTGGGAGCAGATAACAGGCTCTGAGTCCGTTACCTCAGGCAATTCACATTTTGAGAGATCAAGAATATCATCAGCGCCAGCCTCTTTCGCCTGTTGGGAGGGAAAATAATAAATTGTAAACCATAAATATATATACACATACATAAAGACGTATACACACATAACAGCCCCATCAACTCAGTGGCCTTACATTTCCACAATCCCGCCTCAAAATGATCTACACACCCCTCCCCATAGCTCGCAACAGCACCCGTCCTCCTGCCCCCTCCTCCCTCTAATTTGGCCCCAGCCAAAGACATTCAGTGGGACCCCGGTGATAGGCTGACAGATTCAACGGGCGCTCCCAGCCCATTACCAGCGCCCATGGAAAGGCTTCCATAATGAAGACGGGGCTAGAGGAGGACACAGAGGGGCCAAGAGGACAGGCTCCATCGAGAAAGTTAGCAAACAGCTTAACTTGTTAAGATGGCAGGCAGGTCCCCCATATAATGCAATAACTTGATTAAATTGCAATAAATATTCAATGCATCAGACCACTCCTCAAAGACACAAACACTCCTGGGTTTCAAAGCATTCATAACAATCCATCTCACTGTCTGTACCAGATGCCACATAGTTAAAACTATGCCAACCTTATCATGAATAAAATTCACATTTATCTTTGATACTTTTTAAAATAATTATATTTTTATTTTATTTGTAATGCTAAAAGGGTCACTGTCACTTGAGGGCATTTTTCTCAAAGCCTCCCAAGGTGGTATGTCTGTTTGTATTTGTGGAAGCCACTAGACATGGAGCCGCTATGGTCACTGCCGCCATGTCTCGCCAGCTCCTGGCACTTTATTTACCACGAGCCACATCTCATGCATCCGAGACATTATGTAACATGGTTATATTTATCTTGTCATGTATACATTATAAGATGTCACAAACATCACCTGTGAAGACACACATTCCCATCAGCCATCACCGGATATTCTAAATTTTAATCTTTCAGCTGTTTAGTAGATTTTTATATTTACCAGATAAGGGAGCTGTGCAAATACAATGTACTGCATGTGCTACATGTATACAGAATGTATGTGATATACACAGTATAGCTAATTAGGGAGCTATCTTTTAAACCGCTAAAAGATCAAAGTTTCCAAAAGCCGCTTTTGTTAAATTTGTTCTTTCAGCTGTTATGATATGTAACGGATCGTTTTGCACACAAGAGGTTAAAAACCGTTAAGGCGATATTCCCCTTTTAGATGCACAAGCAGCTACTGCAAGCACCAATCTCCCGAACTGCAAACTACACGAATCCTCCAACTCCCGAACAGGAAACACATGAACACTGGAACCAGCCGAACAGGAAACGCATACAATCAGCTTACACTCCTGGCAATCAGCATACAATCCAATTCCCCCAATAACGAGACGACACTTCGTTTGAGGGTCAAGCAGAACTGATTTTCTGGGGCTACCTGCCCGGCTTTTATGCAGGTCTCCCACCTGGTGAACACTCCCCTAGGGGACCAGACGGAAGACTGGGAAACATATTGGACATTGACCAATCAAAGACATACACCTTTAAACACTCCCACAATTACATCACAATCCCTCCTCTCTATCCTGGAGATAATTGGGAAGTAATCCAATTATCTCCCAGGACAGAGGCAAAACTCCATAGAGCACATGTTAGTAAAAAGACACAAAAATACCCAATGTTGCAAATAATAAATAAAACACATACATTCTACCTATCCCCAGATAGCTTAGATCTGAGCACACATTATTACTGAATGGCGCTCAGATCACATACATACAGTTCAATTGCCATGGAGCCTTTCGTTACACGAATAGGCTCCATGGCATGGCTATCTGGGGTGATGGTGTTCATACGGTTAAACTACCTAATAAACAGGCATTTGGTTATACTACTGAATGCAGAGGTAAGGAGGCTGGCGGCTCAGAGGTGTTCGCGCAAATAAGTGTCCGTTTCCAGTTAAATAGTTTGGGCGCTGAACACTGCTGGCCGTTCGGGAGTTAAAATGGCCGCTGCCACGTGTTCGGCAAACGAACAAAGGCCACTCAGCGTTCGTCAATTAAGCTGCGGTTAACCGCAGCTTCTGGGCGGCCAATTGACGACACACTCCAGTTCCCAGGTGGTCGATCGTTCGGTACTTTGTTCGGTAGATATAATCTACTGAACATCCGACAGAAAGGCATGAATAAGCCTTTCTGCAGGGAAAATAAAATGTTTTAAATGCCGGGGCCACAGTCTAAAGGGAGCAGGCGAGCAACCAGGCTCCTCCAGTGCACAGTGGCGAGGTTGGTTCCGCCACATGGTAGATAGTTCCCTAATTTTGTACACTATATGGGATTGCCATATTAACAGTATACGAAGGTAGAACGCAGATAGCACCCCTATTTGGTATCCTTAAATATGGCAAACTCACAGAAGGATAACAAATTAGAGAGCTATTAAACAAACAAAAGATTACATGATTATCTTTAATCTGTTTAGTAGATAACTTGCTATCCTTACGTGGGATATTTAAGGATATGAAATGAGGGAGCAGTTTAGCAGATAGCTCCCTTATTTGGTAATTGATATCTTCAAGGCAATCCCGTATAAGGATAACAAATTCCAGCATTATCTATTAAACAGCTGCAAATGTAAAATGAAGGAAAGGGCTTGACCTAATTTTAAGATTTCAGCAGTTTAGCAGATAATTCCCTAACCTGTAACTTTGTGACTGCCACCTGCAATCATTGTCCACAGGGAATAATGAACTTCCAAAATTAGAAAAAAAACAAATGATCAAACTAAGATTTGGGTTGTCCAAACTGCCTTTCCGAATTTTGGAAAATAACTTGTCAATCTAAAATAAGTCAAATCAATAAAGCACTTCCGCCACCCCCCACCCATGCACATCTCTAATTTTAAATAAATTCTGAAGCAGTAAAGACGATTTTTTCCATTAATAATATTTTTGGAAGTGGTGATAGTCCACACTTACCAGGCACATCTGATATTCAAGCCGTTTCCTTGCTTCGCCGCTCTGCTTTTGTTTTCGGAAGAATAGCGGCATCATAACGCCACTGTGAGGGCTTTCAGTAAATGGCGGGCAGGAAGAAGCCACGCAGCTCGATTCTTGGTTTTCACTGCATTGTGGGCTCCTCTGTGAACACACTGTAACAAGCGTCAGTAAATGTACAGAGTCTGGACGGTCAAACTGCGATATCTGGGGCTAAATATCCGACTTACATAAAGTCTCCAATTTAGACTTCCTTCGCCTTAACCTAGGAAATTAGTTACCATTTGGGGAAAACGCACTGTTTAGATAATAAGCAGCCACGGAGCAGATTTTGGTAAGTCATTAATAAACATACATTGATCCGATATTAAAATCCCCTTCAGAACCAGTGAACACAAATCTGTAAAATAAAATGTGTTTTTTTCTTTTTGAAATCAATATTTGTGCATTTTCTAATCACTGACCATGGTACTAACACCAGATGTATTCTGATTGGCTGAAAATAAAAGCAGACATTAAGACAGTTTCAGTACCCCCAGACCACCTCTTCGGTCATTAATTAACTCATTAATTATCGCCATAGCCAAGACTCATAACATGCACTGTACTTATACAGATAGATATATTGGTAACTCCTGTAAAGGCCATTTAATTAAAGCCCTAATGTAATTAATGACACCGTGACACAGAGTTACTAGTGAATGGCCAGAATTCATCATTATTTGTTGTCAGATTCTCTCCCTCAGTAGCAGCCCACGTTTAGATTTCCAAAATGTGAATCCCATGATGGCTCTGCTTACCAACAGGACACCAAGTCACGGCTTTACACCTGTTGCAAGTGGATCCCCACAGAGGTTTAGACAGATTCAGTATTTCCGTGAAGATTTGTCCCTAGGCGAGCATGCATTCTTCCTGGACAGCCTTCTCCCACACCCAGCCGAGCATTACTCTACTGTACACTCACTCTGCCTAAAGCTGTGACTCAAACAAAAACCACAAAGACCAAACTATAACTAACAAAAAATACTGATATGTATATATAAACACAAAGAGTAAAACAAACTGGAACGGTTTTACAACAGGGCCCCTGGACTAACTCCTCACACACACTCAGAAACCCATTTTCTGAGCAAGTTTTGATAACGCTGGTAGATCTGAAAAGCCTTTACTGCTTCTACACAACTGACTTCCTCCTACTGGTCAGGAAATGAGGCTTCCCAACACGTCAGGTTTGGATGATTGGGTTATCACTCCAGGTAATCCGCTTACTACCAACCACCACCTTCTAGGATCCTCCAGTCTTTCAGGAATTATCTTGATCCAGTGAGGTTGTCATTTACTTGTCCTAGCCGGCCATGACTGATTGAGAATTAGCAGTCCACCTCAAGGCCTTTACCAGCTCCAACCAGTCTGTAAGCTCCAATAAACCAGGTTTTGCATGCAGACGGCAATCTTGCTCCCTAGCGAAAATTTGGAAATGGAATGTAGCTGGGCCGATCACAATAAACACAGTCATGGGAAGTGACTGCCACCTTGTTAAAAGCTTGAATAATCTAAGGCAGGTTTCTGTACTCAGCCAAACCGTCCACGGCTTCCTAATACAAGGGCCTGGATTTACCTGGATTGAGACCCATCTCTTTGTTGGGGCTTGAGGGTCAACCTTTCACGTGCCCTAGAAAGTAGTCATTTACACCCCAATCACAGCACACCTTAAGGCCCAATGTAGGCACCCAGGCCACTTCATAAAGAATAAAAGTGTGCATGGGTAGCAAGAGTAATCTGGATACCACTAGGAGGTTCTTGGGCATAACCCCAAAATAATCATTGTAAAGAAAAAACAGGGAGGACAATGCCAGTACCTGGGAGATCCCGCCGATAGTGAATAGCACTCTCCTCCGTATCAAAATAAGCTAATGTATGTACAGTGCGTTACAGAGGATGCATAAATAGCTACTAAAAATTAAAAGGAAGAAGCTAAATAAATCAAATATCTAGAGGACTAGTAGAGTATCGCCATTAAAATATATTTAAATGAATCCTTATATATCTTTACAATGTGTCCACTCCGCTTCATTAACGTGATTTCCCCATTGGAAACATTGTTATATGGAAACTGTCCCTGCTCTACCTATTTTACTAAGGGCTTTTTTCACCATAAGGATGTATTTGGGACTATTTAAACACCAAGCTGAAATATTTTAAATGGCAACCTTGTATTCCTCTTCACAATCACTAGGCAAATCCTGTATTTTGTGTGTTTTTTAAATGAATAATCCCCTTTAAATATTGTCAGATAAATAACCCCCTTGCAATCGCTATTACAGTCTAGTCAAAAGACAGAGGAAAATGTGGGTATAATAAAACAACTATTTAGCAGATAATTCCATATCATTAAAGGGACACTATAGTCACCTGAACAACTTTAGCTTAATGAAGCCATTTTGGTGTATAGAACATGCCCCTGCAGCCTCACTGCTCAATCCTCTGCCATTTAGGAGTTAAATCCCTTTGTTTATGAACCCTAGTCACACCTCCCTGCATGTGACTTGCATAGTCTTCCATAAACACTTCCTGTAAAGAGAGCCCTATTTAGTCTTTCTTTATTGCAAGTTCTGTTTAATTAAGATTTTCTTATCCCCTGCTATGTTAATAGCTTGCTATACCCTGCAAGAGCCTCCTGTATGTGATTAAAGTTCAATTTAGGGATTGAGATACAATTATTTAAGGTAAATTACATCTGTTTGAAAGTGAAACCAGTTTTTTTTCCATGCAGGCTCTGTCAATCATAGCCAGGGGAGGTGTGGCTAGGGCTGCATAAACAGAAACAAAAGTGATTTAACTCCTAAATGACAGTAAATTGAGCAGTGAAATTGCAGGGGAATGATCTATACACTAAAAATGCTTGATTTAGCTAAAGTAATTTAGGTGACTATAGTGTTCCTTTAATGCTGCACTTCCTGACAAAGGATAGCGGTAACACAGTAACTATCACATCCAAACTTCAGCCAATTCTATTGTAATTAACTATGCCTAGAAAAAGTACTATAATCACTACAGTTCCCTCTCCTGTGTACACTCCCTCACAATCCTCTGTACCAGCAATCCCTTTGTCCCTGCCCGTTGAACCCTTTTGGGCCAGTCAGAGTGACTTACGTTCACTGCTGATAATCCTACCAGAACTCTAGCCTGGCTACCTTCAGTGCCTCTTCCCTGCCATTTTACTACCTTGTCCTGACCCCTTTACTCACGAGCTTGCAGGGCGATCTTTGGAGAGTAAGACATGGTACTGCGACATGGTACTGCGACATGGTCAAAAGTTTAACCGGGTGGCGATTGGACAATTCCCAATATTTTCACAGAAGGGCGCTTGGATCCCACCTTTCAGGGGTTATATAACTTGTGGTGGTACATTGTTGTTTTTGTAACGGTGCTTAGTTGGTCCGTGTGCTGGCAGGGGTCCTCTGATCGAGCCGCGTGCCGAACAGTCTGATCGGCGCGCGGCCCGTACAGTATTGGGAACGCTGCTCGCACCTTCTTAAAGGGAAATGGGAGCCTAACCTTGCGATCAGCTCCAATTGGCCCACATCATTCTGACGCCCCCATTCACGCATGTTTTGGGGCGCAGGCATGATGTGGACTAATCAAATTAAAAATAAAGGTATTTAAAAACTTACCTGGCCCTAGATTCTGTGCCCTATTGTGGTTTCTGTTCCCAGTACCCTTTAGAACGTTCCTTGTGATTAGTATTGTATTCTGGTATTGACCTTGGCTTTGTTTCCTGACTCTGAGTTTCTCTTTAACCCCTCTCCTGTCTTGTTTGCCCATCTGATTATTACCGTGTACCTGACTCTGGCTAGTTCTCGATTTCGCTGTCTCTCCGTTACCCTGACCTCGGCTCGTATTTCGACTACGCTTTTCTCTGTCTAACCTTAAGTCCGGCCACTCTAAGACCCTGTAAGACGTTTATATTTCATTAGTCCGTTCCTTGCCATCCTAAACTCTGCGTGTTAGGGTTATACTCCGTGACAGTTTTGTACTTGTTTTGGGGGTATTTTGTGTTGTGTACTCTGTATCTGGGAGATAATTGGTTTACCGAGGTCTAACTCTATTATCTCCCCGACACAGAGACGCCTGGGCGGGCTTAGGACAGAATGCATGGAGACCCCATGTTGGGGGTCTGTGTATAAATATCTGTGCTCATTCCTCAATAATACCCCTCATCAAGTCTTGGCTGATGTTTGGGCATGCAAAGGCTATAACACACTTTTACTCTACGGGACTATGGAGACTCTTCAGCGGGCATACTCAGTAGGAGTACAGGGGATCTGTTACATCTATCGTAATGGGTAGTCATAATCTAGTGTCTACAAAAAAAAGGTAATTCAACCTGCTGGTAGGCAACAGACTGATACCCCAGCCTCCCTCAACAATTCTGACTCAACATCTCCATACTAGGCTAAACAATGGATATAGCTCAAATCAATAGGGTGCTGTAGTGTATAATGCTTGGTAACTACCCAGGGTAAGGGGTATATGGTGAACAAACTAAGATTGAAATAAATGCTTGAAATGCCCAAATACAATAAACTAAACAACAATAAATGCCTGGACGGGTGTTTTGGTGCTCGATTGCACATTAGTCAGGGGCCCCAGGTAATCTAGCACCTTCTCTCACAGGGTATTGCAGTAAATGTCGGTTTCTCCAGTGATTTGACGGTGATAGTGGTGGGAGCAGCGGAGAGACTGTATCAAACCGTATACTAACAGAAACCATTTACCTGAGCAGCCACTTAGACAATCACTGCCACGGCCCCCTCACCACCAATCTAAACACAAACATCTTAACAGCCTAGACTTTACCTTTAAACGTACCCGGAGGTACTCAACCAATTCCCTTCATTTAGACACCGGCTAATGGTAAATATGTAAGCTGATAGGGAAAACAACATTCACCAAATATTTACCCGTTTAACAAAATGAATAGGAAGCTTCATTGGAAATATGCAGTAATTGGCGAACACAAATCACTAATTACCCAATAAACAATGACTAATTACCCAATAAACACACATATCATCCTAAAACACTTCATGTGTGAAGCATCCTGGTACCCACCCAGCATTAAGATGCCTCTAACGATGAATCACAGAAAGCACAGCCAGGGAGGATATTATCGAAATGCTTCGTACGACGGCTCACAATGACATAATCAATTAATAATTCATCGCAGATCTTGGCTCTCCATCATAGAACACATGGAATACTTGTTTATGAGAAAACCATATAGTCAGTCATCTACCAGTAACATATCTATAGTTTATTAAAGTAAAAATGGAGGACATTATTTTATATAAAGAATCAACATTAACCAATTAAAGTAACGCTCCGAGCACCATAACCACTACAGTCTGTCTTACCCTGGCTCCCTCTCAGGGTAATTAGTCAAACTGTTTATGGACTGTTTAACACCTTCTGGAGTCTTTGCATATTTTGCGACATCACCGTTTGGTTTGCGCCATGTGGGGTGCGGTGGCAAGTTGCTATTCCCTTGCACGCGACTCCATCTTTGATATTAAGCTTCATCTGCTAGGAGCCCAGGTCAGTGATGTTCTCTGTAGCTAGGAGCCCAGGTCAGTGATGTTCTCTGTAGCCAGGAGGCCAGGTCAGTGATGTTCTCTGTAGCCAGGAGCCCAGGTCAGTGATGTTCTCTGTAGCCAGGAACCCAGATCAGTGATGTTCTCTGTAGCAAGGAGCCCAGGTCAGTGATGTTCTCTGTAGCAAGGAGCCCAGGTCAGTGATGTTCTCTGTAGCCAGGAGCCCAGGTCAGTGATGTTCTCTGTAGCCAGGAGCCCAGGTCAGTGATGTTCTCTGTAGCCAGGAGCCCAGGTCAGTGATGTTCTCTGTAGCCAGGAGCCCAGGTCAGTGATGTTCTCTGTAGCCAGGAGCCCAGGTCAGTGATGTTTTCTGTAGCCAGGAGCCCAGGTCAGTGATGTTCTCTGTAGCCAGGAGCCCAGGTCAGTGATGTTCTATGTAGCCAGGAGCCCAGGTCAGTAATGTTCTCTGTAGTTAGGAGCCAAGGTCAGTAATGTTCTCTGTAGCCAGGAGACCAGGTCAGTGATGTTCTCTGTAGTTAGGAGCCCAGGTCAGTGATGTTGTCTGTAGCCAGGAGCCCAGGTCAGAGATGATCTCTTTAGCCAGGAGCCCAGGTCAGTGATGATCTCTTTAGCCAGGAGCCCAGGTCAGTGATGTTCTCTTTAGCCAGGAGCCCAGGTCAGTGATGTTCTCTTTAGCCAGGAGCCCAGGTCAGTGATGTTCTCTGTAGCCAGGAGCCCAGGTCAGTGATGTTCTCTGTAGCCAGGAGCCCAGGTCAGTGATGTTCTCTGTAGCTAGGAGCCCAGGTCAGTGATGTTCTCTGTAGTTAGGAGCCCAGGTCAGTGATGTTCTCTGTAGCCAGGAGCCCAGGTCAGTGATGTTCTCTGTAGCCAGGAGCCCAGGTCAGTGATGTTCTCTTGTGGGAGCAGGTCAGTGATGTTCTCTGAGCCAGGGTGGGTCGGTGATGTTCTTGCTGGCCGGTGGGTCAGGTGATGTTGCCTCTTTGGCTGGGGCCCAGGTCAGTGTTCTCTGTAGCCGGGCCAGGTCGGTGGTGATTCTCTGTGACCAAGAATTTGGTCCGGTGATTTCTCATGGCTAGGGCTGGTCAGTGATGTTCTCTGTGGTTAGGAGCCCAGGTCTGAGTAGATGTTCTATGTTGTGGGAGGCCGGGTCAGTGATGTTCTCTGTGGCAGGAGCCCAGGTCCAGGTGATGTTCCTCTGTGGATTAGGTCAGGTCAGTGATGTTCTCTGTGAGGGCAGGTCGGTGATGTTTCTGTGGCCGAGCCCAGGTCCAGTGATGTTCCTCTGTGTAGGGGCTTTGGGTCAGTGATGTTCTCTCTTGGCCAGGGTCGGTGATGTCTCTTTAATGGGCCCAGGTCAGTGATGTTCTCTGTGGCGGGCCGGGTCAGTGATATTCTCTGTGACAGGAATTGGGTCGGTGATGTTCTCTCTGTGGCGGAGGGGCCCAGATTCGATGATGGTGCTGTGGCAGACTGGGTCAGTGATGTTCACCTGTGGCGGAGCCCAGGTCAGTGAGTGTTCTCTGTGGCAGACCCAGGTCAGTGTTGATGTTCTCTTTAGCCGGGGCCCGGGTCAGTGTTCTCTTTGGGGCCCAGGTCAGTGATGTTCTCTTTGTGGGGCCCAGGTCAGTGATGGGTGTCTTTGGCAGGGCCCAGGTCGGTGATGTTCTCAGCCAGGGCCAGGTCAGTGATGTTCTCTGTAGCCAGGAGCCCAGGTCAGTGATGTTCTCTGTAGCTAGGAGCCCAGGTCAGTGATGTTCTCTGTAGTTAGGAGCCCAGGTCAGTGATGTTCTATGTAGCCAGGAGGCCAGGTCAGTGATGTTCTCTGTAGCCAGGAGCCCAGGTCAGTGATGTTCTCTGTAGCCAGGAGCCCAGGTCAGTGATGTTCTCTGTAGCCAGGAGCCCAGGTCAGTGATGTTCTCTGTAGCCAGGAGCCCAGGTCAGTGATGTTCTCTGTAGCCAGGAGCCCAGGTCAGTGATGTTCTCTGTAGCCAGGAGCCCAGGTCAGTGATGTTTTCTGTAGCCAGGAGCCCAGGTCAGTGATGTTCTCTGTAGCCAGGAGCCCAGGTCAGTGATGTTCTATGTAGCCAGGAGCCCAGGTCAGTAATGTTCTCTGTAGTTAGGAGCCAAGGTCAGTAATGTTCTCTGTAGCCAGGAGACCAGGTCAGTGATGTTCTCTGTAGTTAGGAGCCCAGGTCAGTGATGTTGTCTGTAGCCAGGAGCCCAGGTCAGAGATGATCTCTTTAGCCAGGAGCCCAGGTCAGTGATGATCTCTTTAGCCAGGAGCCCAGGTCAGTGATGTTCTCTTTAGCCAGGAGCCCAGGTCAGTGATGTTCTCTTTAGCCAGGAGCCCAGGTCAGTGATGTTCTCTGTAGCCAGGAGCCCAGGTCAGTGATGTTCTCTGTAGCCAGGAGCCCAGGTCAGTGATGTTCTCTGTAGCTAGGAGCCCAGGTCAGTGATGTTCTCTGTAGTTAGGAGCCCAGGTCAGTGATGTTCTATGTAGCCAGGAGGCCAGGTCAGTGATGTTCTCTGTAGCCAGGAGCCCAGGTCAGTGATGTTCTCTGTAGTTAGGAGTCCAGGTCAGTGATGTTCTCTGTAGCCAGGAGCCCAGGTCAGTGATGTTTTCTGTAGCCGAGAGCCCAGGTCAGTGATGTTCTCTGTAGCCGGGAGCCCAGGTCAGTGATGTTCTCTGTAGCCAGGAGCCCAGGTCAGTGATGTTCTCTCTAGAGGATCCCGCGAGAGCATGCACTGGTATTGTCTTCTTCCCACAGTAACTCCACCTTTTGTCAAGTTATGTCAACCTCACAATTTAACATACGATAAAGTAGTCCCAGGGTGTCTTATGATATGTTTTTACTGGGTTGAATTTCTAATTAGGTCAAAATAGCCGAACTGGAAACATTCTCTAAGTCTGCTTTGCTTTCAGTTCGACTACCCTGGCCTTAAATTTGAAATTCTCATTGAATTCTGACTTTAATTTATGTGATTTACAAGCATTTCAAAAAGATTAAGAAGTTCAGAGCCGCTTTAACTGGCGCCTGGCAGGCGAAGGTCACGGCCTCTTCTAGATCCAGAAGCTGATATACAGTGAGCTGTAGTGGTTATGGTGCTTACAGTTTTAAAAGAGCAATCTAGCACAAAATACTAAAAGTGGAGCAATCACCATGGCAACTAATGTATTCCTGCTGATTGATGTAACAATTTGCTACAGAATTTCGCTTTATAATAACACAATTATAAAATCCTGTACATACACAGCCAGTATCAGTACAGCCTGTACCTGGTTCTATCTACACAGCCAATATCAGTACAGCCTGGGCCTGGCTCTATCTACACAGCCAATATCGGTACAGCCTGGGCCTGGCTCTATCTACACAGCCAATATCGGTACAGCCTGGGCCTGGCTCTATCTACACAGCCAATATCAGTACAGTCCGTACCTGGTTCTATCTACACAGCCAATATCAGTATAGCCTGGGCCTGGCACTATCTACACAGCCAATATCAGTACAGCATGTACCTGGTTCTATCTACACAGCCAATATCAGTACAGCCTGTACCTGGTTCTATCTACACAGCCAATATCAGTACAGCCTGTACCTGGTTCTATCTATCAGTACAGCATGGGCCTGGCACTATCTACACAGCCAATATCAGTACAGTCCGTACCTGGTTCTATCTACACAGCCAATATCAGTATAGCCTGGGCCTGGCACTATCTACACAGCCAATATCAGTACAGCATGTACCTGGTTCTATCTACACAGCCAATATCAGTACAGCCTGTACCTGGTTCTATCTATCAGTACAGCATGGGCCTGGCACTATCTACACAGCCAATATCAGTACAGTCCGTACCTGGTTCTATCTACACAGCCAATATCAGTATAGCCTGGGCCTGGCACTATCTACACAGCCAATATCAGTACAGCCTGTACCTGGTTCTATCTACACAGCCAATATCACTACAGCATGTACCTGGTTCTATCTACACAGCCAATATCGGTACAGCCTGTACCTGGTTCTATCTACACAGCAAATATCGGTACAGCCTGTACCTGGTTCTATCTACACAGCCAATATCGGTACAGCCTGTACCTGGTTCTATCTACACAGCCAATATCGGTACAGCCTGTACCTGGTTCTATCTAAACAGCCAATATCAGTACAGCCTGTAACTGGCTCTATCTACACAGCCAATATCAGTACAGCCTGTAGCTGGTTCTATCTACACAGCCAATATCAATACAGCCTGGGCCTGGCTCTATCTACACAGCCAATATCGGTACAGCCTGGGCCTGGTTCTATCTACACAGCCAATATCGGTACAGCCTGTACCTGGTTCTATCTACACAACCAATATCGGTATAGCCTGTACCTGGTTCTATCTACACAGCCAATATCAGTACAGCCTGACCCTGATATTATACACAGTAATTGCTCACTATGGAGTGCCTGTCTAATATGTGTATAGAATACATGTAGTTGAGGCCAGGCTGTTAAAAAGTGCTTTATTTACAGACATACAGAACATTTTGTATATTAACAACCAACCACACACTAGTATACTGACTGATACATTGTATATAATAACAATGTGACTGATACACTGTATATAATAATGTATATACTGACTAACACACTGTATATAATAATGTATATACTGACTGATACACTGTATATAATAATAATAATAATAATAATAATAATGTATATACTGACTGACACACTGTATATAATAATGTATATACTGACTGATACACTCTATATAATAATAACAATGTATATACTGGCTGATACACTGTATATAATAATAATAATGTATATACTGACTAACACACTGTATATAATAATAACAATGTATATACTGACTGACACACTGTATATAATAATAACAATGTATATACTGACTGACACACTGTATATAATAATAATGTATATACTGACTGACACACTCTATATAATAATAACAATGTATATACTGACTGACACACTGTATATAATAATAATAATGTATATACTGACTAACACACTGTATATAATAACAATGTATATACTGACTGACACACTGTATATAATAATAACAATGTATATACTGGCTGACACACTGTATATAATAATATCAATGTATATACTGGCTGACACACTGTATATCATAATAACAATGTATATACTGACTGATACACTGTATATAATAATAATAATGTATATACTGACTGATACACTGTATATAATAATAACAATGTATATACTGACTGACACAATGTATATAATAATAATAATGTATATACTGACTGACACACTGTATATAATAATAATGTATATACTGACTAACAAACTGTATATAATAATAACAATGTATATACTGGCTGATACATTATTATTATTATATACAGTGTATCAGCCAGTATATACATTGTTATTATTATATACATTGTGTCAGCCAATATATACATTATTATTATTATATACAGTGTATCAGTCAGTATATACATTATTATTATTATATACAGTGTATATACTGACTGATACACTGTATATAATAATAATAATGTATATATTGGCTGACACAATGTATATAATAATAACAATGTATATACTGACTGATAAACTGTATATAATAATAACAATGTATATACTGACTGACACACTGTATATAATAATAATAACAATGTATATACTGGCTGACACACTGTATATAATAATAATAATGTATATACTGACTGACACACTGTATATAATAATAACAATGTATATACTGACTGATACACTGTATATAATAATAACAATGTAAATACTGACTGACACACTGTATATAATAATAACAATGTATATACTGGCTGATACACTGTATATAATAATAATAATGTATATACTGGCTGATACACTGTATATAATAATAACAATGTATATACTGGCTGATACACTGTATATAATAATAATAATAATGTGTATATACTGGCTGATACACTGTATATAATAATAACAATGTATATACTGACTGATACACTGTATATAATAATTACAATGTATATACTGGCTGACACACTGTATATAATAATAACAATGTATATACTGACTGATACACTGTATATAACAATAATCTATATACTGACTGATACACTGTATATAATAATAATGTATATACTGACTGACACACTGTTTATAATAATAATGTATATACTGACTAACACACTGTATATAATAATAACAATGTATATACTGACTAACACACTGTATATAATAATAACAATGTATATACTGACTGATACACTGTATATAATAATAACAATGTATATACTGGCTGACACACTGTATATAATAATAACAATGTATACTGACTGATACACTGTATATAATAATAACAATGTATATACTGGCTGACACACTGTATATAATAATAACAATGTATATACTGACTGACACACTGTATATAATAATAACAATGTATATACTGACTGACACACTGTATATAATAATGTATATACTGACTGATACACTGTATATAATAATAACAATGTATATACTGGCTGATACACTGTATATAATAATAATAATGTATATACTGACTGATACACTGTATATAATAATAATAATGTATATATTGGCATACACACTGTATATAATAATAACAATGTATATACTGACTGATACACTGTATATAATAATAACAATGTATATACTGACTAACACACTGTATATAATAATGTATATACTGACTGATACACTGTATATAATAATAATAATAATAATGTATATACTGACTGACACACTGTATATAATAATGTATATACTGACTGATACACTCTATATAATAATAACAATGTATATACTGGCTGATACACTGTATATAATAATAACAATGTATATACTGACTAACACACTGTATATAATAATAACAATGTATATACTGACTGACACACTGTATATAATAATAACAATGTATATACTGACTGACACACTGTATATAATAATAATAATGTATATACTGACTGACACACTCTATATAATAACAATGTATATACTGACTGACACACTGTATATAATAATAATAATGTATATACTGACTAACACACTGTATATAATAATAATGTATATACTGACTGACACACTGTATATAATAATAACAATGTATATACTGGCTGACACACTGTATATAATAATATCAATGTATATACTGGCTGACACACTGTATATAATAATAATGTATATACTGGCTGATACACTGTATATAATAATAACAATGTATATACTGACTGATACACTGTATATAATAATAAAAATGTATATATTGGCTGACACAATGTATATAATAATAACAATGTATATACTGGCTGATACATTATTATTATTATATACAGTGTATCAGCCAGTATATACATTGTTATTATTATATACATTGTGTCAGCCAATATATACATTATTATTATTATATACAGTGTATCAGTCAGTATATACATTATTATTATTATATACAGTGTATATACTGACTGATACACTGTATATAATAATAATAATGTATATATTGGCTGACACAATGTATATAATAATAACAATGTATATACTGACTGATAAACTGTATATAATAATAAAAATGTATATACTGACTGACACACTGTATATAATAATAATAACAATGTATATACTGGCTGACACACTGTATATAATAATAATAATGTATATACTGACTGACACACTGTATATAATAATAACAATGTATATACTGACTGATACACTGTATATAATAATAACAATGTATATACTGGCTGATACACTGTATATAATAATAATAATGTATATACTGGCTGATACACTGTATATAATAATAATAATGTATATACTGGCTGATACACTGTATATAATAATTACAATGTATATACTGGCTGACACACTGTATATAATAATAACAATGTATATACTGACTGATACACTGTATATAATAATAACAATGTATATACTGACTGATACACTGTATATAATAACAATGTATATACTGGCTGACACACTGTATATAATAATAACAATGTATATACTGGCTGACACACTGTATATAATAATAACAATGTATATACTGACTGATACACTGTATATAATAATAATAATGTATATACTGACTGACACACTGTATATAATAATGTATATACTGACTGATACACTGTATATAATAATAATAATGTATATACTGGCTGATACACTGTATATAATAATAATAATGTATATACTGACTGATACACTGTATATAATAATAATAATGTATATATTGGCATACACACTGTATATAATAATAACAATGTATATACTGACTGACACACTGTATATAATAATAACAATGTATATACTGACTGATACACTGTATATAATAATAACAATGTATATACTGACTGACACACTGTATATAATAATAATAACAATGTATATACTGGCTGACACACTGTATATAATAATAATAATAATGTATATACTGACTGACACACTGTATATAATAATAACAATGTATATACTGACTGATACACTGTATATAATAATAACAATGTATATACTGACTAACACACTGTATATAATAATAACAATGTATATATTGGCTGACACACTGTATATAATAATAACAATGTATATATTGGCTGACACACTGTATATAATAATAATGTATATACTGACTGACACACTGTATATAATAATAACAATGTATATACTGACTGATACACTGTATATAATAATAATAATGTATATATGACTGACACACTGCATATAATAATAATGTATATACTGACTGATACACTGTATATAATAATAACAATGTATATACTGACTGACACACTGTATATAATAATAACAATGTATATACTGACTGACACACTGTATATAATAATAACAATGTATATACTGACTGACACACTGTAACAATGTATATACTGAATACACAATGTATATACTGACTGACACACTCTATATAATAATAATGTATATACTAACTGACACACTGTATATAATAATAACAATGTATATACTGACTGACACAGTGTATATAATAATAACAATGTATATACTGACTGACACACTGTATATAATAATAATAATGTATATACTGACTGACACACTCTATATAATAATAACAATGTATATACTGACTGACACACTGTATATAATAATAATAATGTATATACTGACTGACACACTGTATATAATAATAACAATGTATATACTGACTGACACACTCTATATGTATATAATAACAATGTATATACTGACTGACACACTGTATATAATAATAACAATGTATATACTGACTGATACACTGTATATAATAATAACAATGTATATACTGACTGATACACTGTATATAATAATAATAATGTATATACTGACTGACACAGTGTATATAATAATAATGTATATACTGACTGACACACTGTATATAATAATAATGTATATACTGACTGACACACTGTTTATAATAATAATGTATATACTGACTAACACACTGTATATAATAATAACAATGTATATACTGACTAACACACTGTATATAATAATAACAATGTATATACTGGCTGACACACTGTATATAATAATAACAATGTATATACTGGCTGACACACTGTATATAATAATAACAATGTATATACTGACTGATACACTGTATATAATAATAACAATGTATATACTGACTGACACACTGTATATAATAATGTATATACTGACTGATACACTGTATATAATAATAATGTATATACTGGCTGATACACTGTATATAATAATAATGTATATACTGACTGATACACTGTATATAATAATAATAATGTATATATTGGCATACACACTGTATATAATAATAACAATGTATATACTGACTGACACACTGTATATAATAATAACAATGTATATACTGACTGATACACTGTATATAATAATAACAATGTATATACTGACTGACACACTGTATATAATAATAATAACAATGTATATACTGGCTGACACACTGTATATAATAATAATAATAATGTATATACTGACTGACACACTGTATATAATAATAACAATGTATATACTGACTGATACACTGTATATAATAATAACAATGTATATACTGACTAACACACTGTATATAATAATAACAATGTATATATTGGCTGACACACTGTATATAATAATAACAATGTATATACTGACTGACACACTGTATATAATAATAATAACAATGTATATACTGGCTGACACACTGTATATAATAATAATAATGTATATACTGACTGACACACTGTATATAATAATAACAATGTATATACTGACTGATACACTGTATATAATAATAACAATGTATATACTGACTAACACACTGTATATAATAATAACAATGTATATATTGGCTGACACACTGTATATAATAATAACAATGTATATATTGGCTGACACACTGTATATAATAATAATGTATATACTGACTGACACACTGTATATAATAATAACAATGTATATACTGACTGATACACTGTATATAATAATAATAATGTATATACCGACTGACACACTGCATATAATAATAATAATGTATATACTGACTGATACACTGTATATAATAATAACAATGTATATACTGACTGACACACTGTATATAATAATAATAGTGTATATACTGACTGACACACTGTATATAATAATAACAATGTATATACTGACTGATACACTGTATATAATAATAATAATAATAATGTATATACTGACTGACACACTCTATATAATAATAATGTATATACTAACTGACACACTGTATATAATAATAACAATGTATATACTGACTGACACACTGTATATAATAATAATAATGTATATACTGACTGACACACTCTATATAATAATAACAATGTATATACTGACTGACACACTGTATATAATAATAATAATGTATATACTGACTGACACACTGTATATAATAATAACAATGTATATACTGACTGACACACTCTATATAATAATAACAATGTATATACTGACTGACACAGTGTATATAATAATAACAATGTATATACTGACTGATACACTGTATATAATAATAACAATGTATATACTGACTGATACACTGTATATAATAATAATAATGTATATACTGACTGACACAGTGTATATAATAATAATGTATATACTGACTGACACAGTGTATATAATAATAACAATGTATATACTGACTCATACACTGTATATAATAATAATAATGTATATACTCACTGACACACTCTATATAATAATAACAATGTATATACTGACTGACACAGTGTATATAATAATAACAATGTATATACTGACTGACACACTGTATATAATAATAATAATGTATATACTGACTGACACACTCTATATAATAATAACAATGTATATACTGACTGACACACTGTATATAATAATAATAATGTATATACTGACTGACACACTGTATATAATAATAACAATGTATATACTGACTGACACACTGTATATAATAATAACAATGTATATACTGGCTGACACACTGTATATAATAATAACAATGTATATACTGGCAGACACACTGTATATAATAATAATAATGTATATACTGACTGACACACTGTATATAATAATAACAATGTATATACTGGCTGACACACTGTATATAATAATAATAATGTATATACTGACTGACACACTGTATATAATAATAATGTATATACTGACTGACACACTGTATATAATAATAACAATGTATATACTGACTGACACACTGTATATAATAATAATAATGTATATACTGACTGACACACTGTATATAATAATAACAATGTATATACTGACTAACACACTGTATATAATAACAATGTATATACTGACTGACACACTGTATATAATAACAATGTATATACTGACTAACACACTGTATATAATAATAACAATGTATATACTGACTGACACACTGTATATAATAATAATAATGTATATACTGACTGACACACTGTATATAATAATAACAATGTATATACTGACTGACACACTGTATATAATAATAATAACAATGTATATACTGGCTGACACACTGTATATAATAATAATAATGTATATACTGACTGACACACTGTATATAATAATAACAATGTATATACTGACTGACACACTGCATATAATAATAACAATGTATATACTGACTGACACACTGTATATAATAATAACAATGTATATACTGACTAACACACTGTATATAATAACAATGTATATACTGACTGACACACTGTATATAATAACAATGTATATACTGACTAACACACTGTATATAATAATAACAATGTATATACTGACTGACACACTGTATATAATAACAATGTATATACTGACTGACACACTGTATATAATAATAACAATGTATATACTGGCTGACACACTGTATATAATAATAACAATGTATATACTGGCTGACACACTGTATATAATAATAATAATGTATATACTGACTGACACACTGTATATAATAATAACAATGTATATACTGACTGATACACTGTATATAATAATAATAATGTATATACTGACTGACACAGTGTATATAATAATAACAATGTATATACTGACTGACACACTGTATATAATAATAACAATGTATATACTGGCTGACACACTGTATATAATAATAATAATGTATATACTGACTGACACACTGTATATAATAATAATAATGTATATACTGACTGACACACTGTATATAATAATAATAATAACACTGTATATAATGCCCCCCCTCTCTCCCCCTGTAGCTGGGGCCCTGTACAATGTATACTCACTGTGATTTGGGGCCCCTGGCACACTCTCTGGGCCCTATGCTGGGGATCCTCCCTTACTCTGCAGTCAGGAGCTCTCTACATGCATCATTCGGCAGCAGCAACCGTGACATCACAAGGTCATGTGACTGCTGTGATCACGTGATGTGACTGTCAGAGTAAGGCTGGTAAGGTAAGGGACAAATAGAACACGGCCGCCATGTTTAATGAGGGCAGATGCCAGGAGCTGATACTAATAACCTATTGCCTCACACAATATGGCTGACCCTTTGCCCCACACAATATGGCGGACCCTTTGCCTCACACAATATGGCTGACCCTTTGCCCCACACAATATGGCGGACCCTTTGCCTCACACAATATGGCGGACCCTTTGCCACACACAATATGGCGGACCCTTTGCCACACACAATATGGCGGTCCCTGTGCCTGATTCAGAGATCTCGCGATGTTTGGGCGGTTTATAAGGCGCTGGCGCTAACGCTCCGCCCTCTTTCTCTCCCCGCTCCCAGCTGGTTGAGGTGTAACAGTTCTATCGGTCGTCCCGAATCCGGGTTCATCCGACACCGAGACCGGTCTGTGAGAAGCGGAACCGCCCAGTAACCCGCAGCCATGCCTCCCAAATTCGACCCCACCGAAATTAAAGTCGGTACGTGAGCGGTTAGCGGCCAGTGAGAGCCCCGGGCGGGCAGGCCTCAGTGCGGCAGGCGGAGCGTGTGTGGCTCTCACGGTACAACATCATCAACATCATCATAGCTGGGGGTGGGTTATATTATATGGGGCGATTATACTGATATTATCATATGGGGGTATATATATATTATACTATACTGGGGGTATACTACCGGCTGGGGGGTTATACTATATAATTATTATACTACTATACAGGGTGGGGGGTTATACTATATAATATATACTATACCAGGGTGGGGGTTATATATACTACTAATGGGGGTACAAATAATATATATTATATACAGGGCTGGGTTATATAATATACTATACCGGGCTGGGGGGGTTATACTATATAATATACTATACCGGGCTGGGGGGGTTATACTATATAATATACTATACTGGGCTGGGGGGGTTATACTAAATATTATACTATACCGGGCTGGGTTATATAATATACTATACCGGGCTGGGGGGGTTATACTAAATATTATACTATACCGGGCAGGTTATATAATATATACTATACCGGCTGGGGTTATACTATATACTATGGGGTTATACTATAATATATACTATACCAGGGGAGGGGGGTTATAATACATTATAATATACTGGATGGATTATATAATATGCACTATACCGCTGGGGGGTTATACTAAATATTATACTATACCGGGCTGGGTTATATAATATACTATACCGGGCTGGGGGGGTTATACTAAATATTATACTATACCGGGCTGGGTTATATAATATACTATACCGGCTGGGGGGTTATACTATATACTATACTGGGGGTTATACTATATAATATACTATACCAGGGGGAGGGGGGGTTATAATAAATATTATACTATACCGGGATGGATTATATAATATACTATACCGGCTGGGGGGGTTATACTATATATTATACTATACGGGCTGGGGGAGGGTTATACTATATAATATTATACTATGCTGGGGGGTTATACTGTATATTATACTATACCAGGCGTTATACTGTATATTATACTATGCCGGGCTGGAGATGGGGTTAATATAATTATGCCCAGATTATGTTATATTATGCTGGGCAGGGGGATAATATGATCATACCGGGTTGGGGGTTGATAATACTATTATACTGGGATTATATACTATACCAGCTGAGGGTGGGAGAAGTATATACAGAGATTATATTATACTATACCAGAGTGGAGGGTGGAAATATTATATATAGGGACTATACCAGGCTGGAGGGGGTAGAAGGGGAGCAGTGGGTGGAGAATGAGCTGTATGGAATTTTCAAACTTGTAGGTAATGGTTTCCTTATGTACAGTTGATCACTGGATCAAAGTCTTGTGTCAAAGTGGCTTGTTAGTAGGGTTATTCACTAAAGTTAGAATTGTTAATGCATTTTAACCTTAAAAGTACACACTAACAACTATTGATTGACACTCAATGTAGGGCCAGGGGACTCTAGTCACTATAACCATCTTAATGAAATGGCTACAGGCCTAACTAAGAGCTGAGAAAATTCTCCAGGTCTATTTCCAGTTCAGGTGTTTGACGCTCACTCTGAATTTCTGGCAAGTCTCGCTCTAGTTAGGAATGTGTTATTGAGCCATTGCTGTATAAAGTGTAGCTTATTGCTGATGTAATGGTACATGTCCCATTTATGCCTGAAAGGTGTGTGGAACTTCTGTTACACAATTCCTATACTCCTTGTGTGAGAAGATAGACAGGAAGGACTAATGACTGGGAATTTGCCGCAGCCAGTTAAAGTAAAATCTTGGGTATGGGATGCCCTCTTTTAAGATAAATAATGTAGCCACCCGCCACTATACCAGCCTGATTCCTGTGTCTCGGTGTATTCCAGTGGTGAGCTTAAAGTAACCTCTTCTTAGGAAACAGAGCTTTTCTACACGTGACTTGCTCTGTGCCGAAAGATTGAGAACACTGTATTCTGTTTGCTTAGAACTGCTTACTGTGCTCTGCTCTGCACTGGTTTTAATTCTGCCTCTGTTTTGGTTATAGTGTGTCTGAGATGCACAGGAGGGGAAGTTGGAGCCACCTCTGCATTGGCCCCTAAAATCGGACCCTTGGGTTTGGTGAGTTACATGTGGTGTAAAGTCTTTATTTTTAATCAGTATTTTATGAAGTCATTGAGCTGGATAGCGGTGTGCTAAGCAGTGACCTCTGGCACACAAGCCTGTATGACAGGGGCAGGCAAACTTCAGCACTCATAAGTTGTGAACTACATCTCCCATAATGCTTGCAAAACATCAGGGGTGGTGTAGCCCACATCTGAAGTGCTGAAGATTTATAAACTCTGGAATACTAAAGGTCTCTCTGATCTAGAGTTGAATAGTTGTATGGAATTCCTAGTTTGCATGCTAATCTGAACCCCTTTGGTGCCTAAATGGCCACAATTCTACTTAATGCGTTTGCTGTCAGATCTGCCATGTCACATTGTCACCTCAATATTCTGTTCTTTTCATACTCCTCAGGCATGCTGTGGCATGTGGCTGCATTTTAGTGAGGAGCTAGATTTTTAAAATTTGCAGTCCTTTAGCGGGAAAGGGGATATGTAATGGCCCTGCTGAAACAAGCTTAATCTATCTGGAATTGGGGTGTAGTTTATCAAACCTCTTTAGATATAATGGAGTACATGCCTGCCTTAAATCCTTATTAAACTGTGTAAACTATTGCTATGATTCTGAATTGACAACTTGCATGAATGTTACAAATGTTTTTGTTTGGTTTAGTCTCCAAAAAAAGTCGGTGATGACATTGCCAAAGCCACTGGAGACTGGAAGGGGCTGAGAATTACAGTCAAACTGACCATTCAGAACAGACAGGCACAGGTAACGTCAAATTTATGGACAGACTTTACCAATTGAACATGTGTTTAGCGCAAAAGCTAAAAGGAATAGTCCACTGTGAATATTTGTGTGGCTAATCAGAGCATTCTCCAACATGGTGCATTAGAAACGTGTGCAGGGACAGTCTGTGGTATGTATTAAGGCACTGGGAAGAGCCCTGCACATAAGGTATCTGACAAACCACTGACTGGTCTAAACGTTGTTTATAGCATTAAAAAGGATTGCATTTCTCAGTGCTAGACAAAATTAGTCTTGCAAATGTCATTGTGGGTATGTTTCTAGGAAGACAACCTCTCTTTGATTATTTTATAGCTTCTCCTTGGAAAGTAATTGCCATGCAATCCTAGTAGGGTTTGGTAGCATTTTAGATCATGTTGATGTAAAGTAACATTTATATAAAGTTCTACTCCTTCTAGCGCTGCATGTTTATTGTGGTTATAGGTAGCCAGTGGCATGCATCCAGCTGGCTGTAAGACTGAGACTGCCAATCATGGATAATGTGTATACAGCCACCCGCCACTATGCCAGTCTGTCGGTGACCTGGTATATTCCAGTGGTGAGCTGAGACCAAAACCCATCTTAGGAAACAGAGTCCTTCTGTGTGTGAAAGACCCTGTGCCGAAAGATTGGGGACACGACAACCTGATGCCACACAGCAGAATTTTTTTATGAATGGTCCTAACAGGGTTTTATTTTTCTGCAGATTGAGGTCGTCCCATCTGCCTCTGCTCTGATTATCAAGGCCCTGAAGGAGCCCCCTCGTGACAGGAAGAAGCAGAAGAACAGTGAGTATCTTGTATTGAATAATGTGGCAGTGTCAAGGTTAAAATACACTAACCTTTTAGTATTGGGATTTTTTTAATAAATACAAGAAAAGCCTTAACTCGCCTGTAACTCTGCTCCAGGACAGTGCTCTCTGCAAATGCTTGGACATCCTGTCAGACTGCTTTCTATTCTAGTACTTCTCATAAAAGCTCCTTTGGCAGCAAAAGGGTTAAACCAGTCCTCACGACCCACTAACAGTCCAGGTTTTGTCAGGCATTTATTCCAATGTAGATACTAACTCAACTTGTGGTGAGCAATGACATCTAGTCTGGGATCCACTGCTGACTCCAGGCTGTGACCACTTCAAATCTCTGGTCATGGTGCCTGGTTGTAACCCTTTATTCACAAAGTTAATTGAAAAATATTTAAACACCTTGATTTGCATTAGTTTCTGCTAAATGTTGTGAAATTAAAGATGGTTCATGTTACCTCTTATATTCCAGCCACCCGCCACTATAGCAGTCTGATATATGACTGTGTATAATCCAGTGGTGCGCTAAGAACAAAACCCTTCTTAGGAAACAGGTTCATTCTGTGTGTGAGTGATTCTGTGCCGAAAGATAGGGAACACATGTCATTTTATGCTAAAATACATGAAGGGTGGAGTTTGCTTGGTGTGAATAAAGTCTAAGTTCTGTATTTTATTTTCAGTCAAGCACAATGGGTCAGTCACCATGGATGAAATTATCAGCATCGCCCGGCAAATGCGGCACCGGTCTCTAGCCAGAGAGCTCTCTGGTAGGTAATCTTTCTGAAATATATCCATCAACAGCATAAAATAATCTGTTAATAGAATAACATCTTGTTCTAGTGTTTTTTATTTTGGTTTTCACGTTTAATTTAATTCTACCTTTATCTTTAGGAACCATTAAAGAGATTCTGGGCACAGCACAGTCTGTTGGCTGCAACATTGATGGAAGGCACCCACACGATATCATTGACGATATAAACAGTGGTGCGATGGAATGCCCAGCGGTAAGTGCTCCTTTGGAAAACAGTTTGTGTATGTATCCTATAGTATAACGAACACTAACTAGCTGGTAGTCATTAAATGAAATCTCCTGTTTGCTGTAGTTGCACTGCATTTTACTGGGAAGTAACAGTGACACGTGCCCCTTCGTATGCTAGGTTTCCAGGCCGGTTCAGTCACTGGGAACCACTGCTGGCATGCAGCAACTTTTCACTCCCGGTTTCTTGTAGAATTCCCTGTAAGGCTGGAAAACTGTTAGAAACCCTGATTAGACATTGTAATAAAGTTTTGGTAGTGTTTGTGCTGATATTAATTAATTTTATTTTATTTTTTTACAGAATTAAACATGCTGTGTAGAAGAATTATCTACAATAAAGAAAATTTTCTCTATTTTTTTTTCTTGTGGTTTTTATTTAATTTTGTTGATCCTGGGTCTCTTTAAGTGAACATAAAGTTACACTCCAAGCACCATAACTAACGCAGCATGCTCTGCTTCTGCTACTTTCTAGTAAAATGGTTTTTGGTTCTTTGGGTGTTTATTATCATGCCTTTTGACTATAAAAACTCCTTCAGCTGCAGTAATTCAGATTTTTTTTAACTTTAGTTAATAGTCTGACATGTTCAGTTTCTTAAAGTTGCTGTTTAGTGACTATAATTAATGCTGACATGTAACAATGGTCTATTTCATGCTTTCTCCTTTTTTAAAGAAAACAAGCCACATGTTAAACATTCCCCTCCCCAAACTATGCATCTTATGTCTCTATCTGCAACAATTGCGCTGATTTCTACTGTGCCCTAACTTAGGCGGCAAGGAACTTTAAGCAGCAAACTATAACCATTGCAGTGTAGCTTATTGGAGTGGTTATAGTATACATTCTGCATTCATTCCTGGTTTGCTTTTTGGCTCAATGTCTGTCTTTGCAGAAATAATGCATATTCTGAATTTAGCCCTAACTGGGGGGGGATGCATAGTCCTCACAGCTTGTTTTTGCATACAGTTTACTGTCCCAACCTTCAAACCGTCAGTGCCCAGTAACTACTCCATGTCA